TATAGTGCACTACGTGCCATTCACTGTACAGAAAATACTAATTCTGTGGACAAGTGACCGATTTCAGCCGCGGCTTCAGCGTCTATTTTATAGTGTAGGGGGCGGGGCTTCGGATTCTAGAGAGCATTTGATTGGACAGAAAGTTTGATGAGAAGCTGAAGTACAATGTGACGTCAAAAAAATCGTTGAGCCGTTTTGGCGGAAGTGATGAACTGCAAGCTTTGAATGCTTATATCTTCTAAATGCTAATTTTGTCACTGTTTTGGAGCACACTGCCTTATAGATAACCTTAAGACTAACATATTGATACTAACACCCAAAAAACTTTCATTTTGATTTCATGGGGACTTTAAGAAGTGAACATTAGACAAGTCTAAATCAATCATAATGTCAACACGTCATCCTGAAACGAGTGTTGAGAGTTTGTGTGGTGTGTGTTTCCAGGAGTAGCAGTGTCCCGCAGTGTCAGTCATGGTGGCGCTGTCGCTGAAGATCGGGGTGGGCAATGTGGTGAAGACCATGCAGTTCGAGCCCTCCACCGTGGTGTACGACGCCTGTCGAATCATCAGGGAGAGAGTCCCAGAAGCACAGCTCGGCCAGCGTGAGTCCGTCACCAGACACTCACAACCCTGAAAAGTGCTCAGATACAGACAGAATCTCACATGCATTGGAAGTTTTCATGTGAATGGCAATGCTATTAAGCATTTGATGGGTGAAATTAACCCATTTAATCCCAAATTTTTCTCAGACATAAAAATATCGAAATGATGTGTCATTAGTTACCCCTTGAAATAATCAATAATTATTTTTCAAATTTCTATGGAAAAGTGTGTGTTTTATATGGTTGGTCACAATTGTGACCGGTGGGATGTGTATATAGCTCAGCCCAGATATTAACACACTGTTTAAACTGTTTTATCACATTCTATGGTTACTATTATACATAAAAACCCTTATACAACACTGAATAGATAAAAAATAAAAATAGTTATTATCCCAGCGGTCACTATTGTTGCCATCAAAATGTTTACTCGTTCTATGACCACACTCAACAAAACTGAATAATTGTAAACACATACATTAATAATAGACACCTTAAAGATAACGTGTACCAAAAATCTTTGTAATATCTTTGTTAAAATACTTTATTAACCTTTTGTTTTGGAGCTTTGATGCTCATCATATCATGGTTCAAACAGGAAGTAAACTGCTCTGGTCATGTGACAGTTTGCACTAACCACGTGACACTGCACATATTTAATTGAGACCCTTAATTGTTTCCATATTTGCAGAAAATGCACTAAAACAGTAACATTTTTAGAGCTTTATAAATGAAAACCTTCTTTATGGTCACTATTATGAACGATGGGATTAAATGGGTTGATAAAAAATAATTGATCTTTAACCATATAAATTATCCATTATTCCTTTCATCATGGCTATTTATGTCATGCAAAAATTATACTCAATCTCCAATTAAACAATTGTAATATTGTACAGAATGCACAAGTACCTGAGAAAATCCACCGTCACTCGTCACGTAGCACCATCACGGCTCGTTATGACAAAAACTGATTAACTTGGAAATAGGGAAGTTCATTTCGGTTATTTTTCCTAACTGACAACAGACGCTCGTTAACCAATTGTTAACCGTTAACCAACAAGATTATTTTAAATTAGAATTGAATTAAATTAGAAAGGATAAGTGTCTGTGGCCCGTTAAAAATACTAACGTTTTGTTTCTCGGGGATTAATTTTACATGCGCATAAAGCAGCAAACAACAGAACATGAGGATTCACATGGTCTTCATATCACATCATGCGCCTGCAGCGCTTCTACGAGCGGAGAAAAACATAATAAAGCTATGTACAGAAAATACTAATTCTGTGGACAAGTGACCGATTTCAGCCGCGGCTTCAGCGTCTATTTTATAGTGTAGGGGGCGGGGCTTCGGATTCTAGAGAGCATTTGATTGGACAGAAAGTTTGATGAGAAGCTGAAGTACAATGTGACGTCAAAAAAATCGTTGAGCCGTTTTGGCGGAAGTGATGAACTGCAAGCTTTGAATGCTTATATCTTCTAAATGCTAATTTTGTCACTGTTTTGGAGCACACTGCCTTATAGATAACCTTAAGACTAACATATTGATACTAACACCCAAAAAACTTTCATTTTGATTTCATGGGGACTTTAAGAAGTGAACATTAGACAAGTCTAAATCATCGATAATGTCAACACGTCATCCTGAAACGAGTGTTGAGAGTTTGTGTGGTGTGTGTTTCCAGGAGTAGCAGTGTCCCGCAGTGTCAGTCATGGTGGCGCTGTCGCTGAAGATCGGGGTGGGGAATGTGGTGAAGACCATGCAGTTCGAGCCCTCCACCGTGGTGTACGACGCCTGTCGAATCATCAGGGAGAGAGTCCCAGAAGCACAGCTCGGCCAGCGTGAGTCCGTCACCAGACACTCACAACCCTGAAAAGTGCTCAGATACAGACAGAATCTCACATGCATTGGAAGTTTTCATGTGAATGGCAATGCTATTAAGCATTTGATGGGTGAAATTAACCCATTTAATCCCAAATTTTTCTCAGACATAAAAATATCGAAATGATGTGTCATTAGTTACCCCTTGAAATAATCAATAATTATTTTTCAAATTTCTATGGAAAAGTGTGTGTTTTATATGGTTGGTCACAATTGTGACCGGTGGGATGTGTATATAGCTCAGCCCAGATATTAACACACTGTTTAAACTGTTTTATCACATTCTATGGTTACTATTATACATAAAAACCCTTATACAACACTGAATAGATAAAAAATAAAAATAGTTATTATCCCAGCGGTCACTATTGTTGCCATCAAAATGTTTACTCGTTCTATGACCACACTCAACAAAACTGAATAATTGTAAACACATACATTAATAATAGACACCTTAAAGATAACGTGTACCAAAAATCTTTGTAATATCTTTGTTAAAATACTTTATTAACCTTTTGTTTTGGAGCTTTGATGCTCATCATATCATGGTTCAAACAGGAAGTAAACTGCTCTGGTCATGTGACAGTTTGCACTAACCACGTGACACTGCACATATTTAATTGAGACCCTTAATTGTTTCCATATTTGCAGAAAATGCACTAAAACAGTAACATTTTTAGAGCTTTATAAATGAAAACCTTCTTTATGGTCACTATTATGAACGATGGGATTAAATGGGTTGATAAAAAATAATTGATCTTTAACCATATAAATTATCCATTATTCCTGGCTATTTGGCTATTTATGTCATGCAAAAATTATACTCAATCTCCAATTAAACAATTGTAATATTGTACAGAATGCACGAGAAAATCCCCGTTAACCGACAAGATTATTTTAAATTAGAATTGAATTAAATTAGAAAGGATAAGTGTCTGTGGCCCGTTAAAAATACTAACGTTTTGTTTCTCGGGGATTAATTTTACATGCGCATAAAGCAGCAAACAACAGAACATGAGGATTCACATGGTCTTCATATCACATCACGCGCCTGCAGTGCTTCTACGAGCGGAGAAAAACATAATAAAGCTAGGCTAAATATATATAAAAGGAAAAAATAGGCCTATACGAGAAACATATTTTTACTTAAATAATAAATTAAGAAAATGAAAGAAAAACTGTGCAATAAGTAGCCTAGTATGCAGAGTTTCGCTTCATTTTTGTGCTGCGTGAAAGGAAACAGACGGCAGAAAGCGGCATCCTATTTTTCTTTAGGCTTATTTTACAAAAGCACAAAGATTTGTTTTTATTGTGAATGTACACAAATAAAGGCCAACCTTTTACAATTCCGATTATCTTTAGGACTAAAAGGAGTAGTTTCTTCCACTGTTAAACCCTATTCGCATGGGATTAGTATTATCTGGGGGCCTTGTGTGATTTTGAAATTACCACATCTGAATTTCGTGTGGTGCATTCGCACGGGATAAGCAAAGCATGTGATTTTACTCGAATTTACTGACTTATCTCTGGGATACGATGTCAAGGCTTTGAGAGTCCCGTTCTATGGTCCAGATGGATTTTTAAGAAAAGAAACTAATAGTTTCGTGCGCTGTCATTTACATTTCACCGGGTTAAAATAATATCTCAAGCTTTATGCTTGATTTATTTGTAACACATTAACCTCGAAACTGAAACAGGAAGACAGGGCGGGACATATCAAGCAGCCCCGCCCCTTTTTAAAATAGCCAATAGCGTTCATTTATATCACAGCTTTGGCTAGAGCCGTTCAGAGCCGTTGAGCTCCGTAAAGCCACAATCTCATTCATATTGCTATAAAATATAGCATTCTGTGTAGAATTCAAATAGCTCCGATACATTTTGTGGTCTGCGCCGACTCGCGCATGTGATCCGCTCCGTGCTATCGTGTCTCTGGACCGGAGCAGAGTGTGTGTGCGGTGCGGTGGTTAGCGGGACACAGCGCCAAACCAGACTTCTGTTTTTCCTCATTGTAAAGCATATTTACACTGTTTGAATCGTTCCCTGTCCCCTATATAGTGCACTACGTGCCATTCACTGTACAGAAAATACTAATTCTGTGGACAAGTGACCGATTTCAGCCGCGGCTTCAGCGTCTATTTTATAGTGTAGGGGGCGGGGCTTCGGATTCTAGAGAGCATTTGATTGGACAGAAAGTTTGATGAGAAGCTGAAGTACAATGTGACGTCAAAAAAATCGTTGAGCCGTTTTGGCGGAAGTGATGAACTGCAAGCTTTGAATGCTTATATCTTCTAAATGCTAATTTTGTCACTGTTTTGGAGCACACTGCCTTATAGATAACCTTAAGACTAACATATTGATACTAACACCCAAAAAACTTTCATTTTGATTTCATGGGGACTTTAAGAAGTGAACATTAGACAAGTCTAAATCATCGATAATGTCAACACGTCATCCTGAAACGAGTGTTGAGAGTTTGTGTGGTGTGTGTTTCCAGGAGTAGCAGTGTCCCGCAGTGTCAGTCATGGTGGCGCTGTCGCTGAAGATCGGGGTGGGGAATGTGGTGAAGACCATGCAGTTCGAGCCCTCCACCGTGGTGTACGACGCCTGTCGAATCATCAGGGAGAGAGTCCCAGAAGCACAGCTCGGCCAGCGTGAGTCCGTCACCAGACACTCACAACCCTGAAAAGTGCTCAGATACAGACAGAATCTCACATGCATTGGAAGTTTTCATGTGAATGGCAATGCTATTAAGCATTTGATGGGTGAAATTAACCCATTTAATCCCAAATTTTTCTCAGACATAAAAATATCGAAATGATGTGTCATTAGTTACCCCTTGAAATAATCAATAATTATTTTTCAAATTTCTATGGAAAAGTGTGTGTTTTATATGGTTGGTCACAATTGTGACCGGTGGGATGTGTATATAGCTCAGCCCAGATATTAACACACTGTTTAAACTGTTTTATCACATTCTATGGTTACTATTATACATAAAAACCCTTATACAACACTGAATAGATAAAAAATAAAAATAGTTATTATCCCAGCGGTCACTATTGTTGCCATCAAAATGTTTACTCGTTCTATGACCACACTCAACAAAACTGAATAATTGTAAACACATACATTAATAATAGACACCTTAAAGATAACGTGTACCAAAAATCTTTGTAATATCTTTGTTAAAATACTTTATTAACCTTTTGTTTTGGAGCTTTGATGCTCATCATATCATGGTTCAAACAGGAAGTAAACTGCTCTGGTCATGTGACAGTTTGCACTAACCACGTGACACTGCACATATTTAATTGAGACCCTTAATTGTTTCCATATTTGCAGAAAATGCACTAAAACAGTAACATTTTTAGAGCTTTATAAATGAAAACCTTCTTTATGGTCACTATTATGAACGATGGGATTAAATGGGTTGATAAAAAATAATTGATCTTTAACCATATAAATTATCCATTATTCCTTTCATCATGGCTATTTATGTCATGCAAAAATTATACTCAATCTCCAATTAAACAATTGTAATATTGTACAGAATGCACAAGTACCTGAGAAAATCCACCGTCACTCGTCACGTAGCACCATCACGGCTCGTTATGACAAAAACTGATTAACTTGGAAATAGGGAAGTTCATTTCGGTTATTTTTCCTAACTGACAACAGACGCTCGTTAACCAATTGTTAACCGTTAACCAACAAGATTATTTTAAATTAGAATTGAATTAAATTAGAAAGGATAAGTGTCTGTGGCCCGTTAAAAATACTAACGTTTTGTTTCTCGGGGATTAATTTTACATGCGCATAAAGCAGCAAACAACAGAACATGAGGATTCACATGGTCTTCATATCACATCACGCGCCTGCAGTGCTTCTACGAGCGGAGAAAAACATAATAAAGCTAGGCTAAATATATATAAAAGGAAAAAATAGGCCTATACGAGAAACATATTTTTACTTAAATAATAAATTAAGAAAATGAAAGAAAAACTGTGCAATAAGTAGCCTAGTATGCAGAGTTTCGCTTCATTTTTGTGCTGCGTGAAAGGAAACAGACGGCAGAAAGCGGCATCCTATTTTTCTTTAGGCTTATTTTACAAAAGCACAAAGATTTGTTTTTATTGTGAATGTACACAAATAAAGGCCAACCTTTTACAATTCCGATTATCTTTAGGACTAAAAGGAGTAGTTTCTTCCACTGTTAAACCCTATTCGCATGGGATTAGTATTATCTGGGGACCTTGTGTGATTTTGAAATTACCACATCTGAATTTCGTGTGGTGCATTCGCACGGGATAAGCAAAGCATGTGATTTTACTCGAATTTACTGACTTATCTCTGGGATACGATGTCAAGGCTTTGAGAGTCCCGTTCTATGGTCCAGATGGATTTTTAAGAAAAGAAACTAATAGTTTCGTGCGCTGTCATTTACATTTCACCGGGTTAAAATAATATCTCAAGCTTTATGCTTGATTTATTTGTAACACATTAACCTCGAAACCTTTTCAGCTTTCTCTTTCTGCAAATTGTATGGTGTAGCGATATGACAGCACCCAAAATACTATCAAACGCAGCTCCATTCTTCGCGAAAGATGGATAAAAAGGCGCACAGGAAACAAAAGCCTTGAAAAATGATATACGATCCGCCAAATGCTGGCCAAATCACAGAGATGCCAATTCGCATGGGACTAATATTAGCACAGGACCTCGGTGTTTGGCGAAATATGGTAGGTCTTTTGCGGGGGAATTTTTACTTTACAAATTACAGACATGGACGATTCCCACGGGATTAAGATCACAGACAACCTCCGCAATTATTACAAATGACTGGAGGTCACCAGGTAATACTAATCCCGTGCGAATAGGGCTATAGAAGGACAAAATTCAAGTGATTGCGCCGGCGCCATATGCGCGCACAGTTAAGCTTTGCTACCTTGACAATGCAGCCTGTTCATTATCATAATAATATACAGTCAGTCAAACATATGGAGAATGAAAAACACACTGCTCAGTTTAAATATGTAGTAAAATCTGTGCCGTTAAGTGTTATCACCGTACCGCCGTGATGCTATTTTGCTAATAGCTAAATAAATTTGGGCTTTAAGTCAGATCAGTAAAAAAACAAAAGCACTACTTTTTTTTTTTTCTAATCCAAAACATCGGCTCAACGATAAGTTGCTGTTTTCATTGTTTTTGTACCTTTGTTTTCTAATAAATATGGTTGTTATGACCAAAACGTAGACAATTTCACAGTTCTCGATTCCCATTTTGATACCCCAGCAAAAACTACTGGTTCAAACATTATTAAAGACAAGTAAACAGTAATAAAATAACAACAAATAATCTAGTTTCAAGAAGGTAACTCAAAAACAGTAAGTAGCTCAAATAATTACAATAAAACAAAGATTCGAATAAAGTAAACATTTGGGGTGCGTGCACACAGAAAACAGCCTATCAGACAGCGGGCGAATACTGAATTGAGTTCTTTTTCCACATCTTCCTGTGTTATTCTTTAAAGTTACACCTAACAATTCATATAATTCCGTATAATTCAATATAATTCCAACTCAAATTATTCCAAGGCTATTCATTTCTTTTTTAAAGACAAAAGGATCATTTCCAATCTACTCATTCACAGTGGAAGTGGATGATGATTTATATAGCCAACTTTCATAAAGGCCAAACAAATTAAAAAGAACCATAAGAGGACATTCACACAGAATGTGTTGTCTTGCCATTGTTTTTCCATCTAAACATGTGCTAGACAGATATTTTTGAGTGATGCACTCGCATCTTGTGTCTTTTGCAGCGCTTGTCACGATGGTCTGAAAATGTGACGATCCAAGTTAAAAGTAGCTCATCTTTTAAAAAGACATCTCTAGACCTTGCGCTTTATTTTCATTCCACTGATTTGCATCACACTTTTTTTAAACGCAAAAATATGCTCTGTGTGAATGGCCCCTAAAACAATAATCTGAAAATGTGACGATCCAAGTTAAAAGTAGCTCATCTTTTAAAAAGACATCTCTAGACCTTGCGCTTTATTTTCATTCCACTGATTTGCATCACGCTTTTTTAAACGCAAAAATATGCTCTTTGTGAATGGCCCCTAAAGCAATAAGCTGCACATAAACTACATTAGTTCTGCTGTGTATTTTGAATTGTTTTGTTCAATCAGAATGATAAGCAATAATAGCTGTTTTTCCTCAACTGTAAGTCGCTTTAGATAAAAGCGTCTGCCAAATGAATAAATGTAAATAAGCATTAGGAATCATGTATTTTTAAAAATCAGTAAATGATGGGAAATGCACCTTCTGATTTTGACAGTCTTATTAGGTTGTAAAACGCAATCTGACCACCCACTAACTCTTCTGTCTTCTTGCAGCCAGTGACTATGGCCTGTTCCTGTCAGATGAGGACCCAAAGAAAGGCATTTGGCTAGAAGCAGGCAAAGCACTGGACTACTACATGCTGAGAAATGGAGTGAGTCTAGAATATTTCAAATAAAATGAAGTAACGGTGAAGTAATTCAAGAAAAAGATCAAATAGAATAATGCTCATTTTGAGTGCAGTCTCTATAAAATGTTTCCTTGTCTAGTAATCAGAAATTAGTGAAAAAAAAAATCAAAGCTGTGGAATTTATGGCCATTGTTTTTATATTTGCATTGGGATTGACTTGAGGAAAATTTACTTTTTTTTTTTTATTTGACAGATGCTCCAAAGTAATTTACAGTTACATTTTATCAGTCAGTACACTGGCAATCAACGGCTGAACCTGATATTTCAAATATTTCAAACATATTTAAGATACAGTAGACAACACTAGTGTATATAATATGGGTTTTATAAAGGATATTTCATAAGAACATGTATTTGTTAGGACACACTGGAGTACAAAAAGAAACAGAGACCCCTGAAAATCCGCATGTTGGATGGAACTGTTAAAACAGTCATGGTGGATGACTCAAAAATCGTCAGTGACATGCTAATGACCATCTGTGCCAGAATAGGTAAGTTAGTGTCCATATTAGGAGTGAAACTCCATTCTGCCTGCTTTTTAGTAATTTCTAGGCCTGATCTCTCCTGGTTTATATTATACATGGACAACAGGTCTTACCAAGTCGGCTGGATTATCTCACTGTACTCACTGAGTGCTCTCACCACTGAGGTACCACAGGGTTCAGTGATCGGACCGCTGTTTTTCTCTATCTACGCCATATCACATAGGATAGTCATCCAGTCACATGGGCCCTGTTTTCACTTGATATTAAGATATTTTTTGGTGATCCAATAAGAAGTGGTCAGTGCTAAATATATAGGTGGAAACCGCGTCTGAAACATTTGTGATCAGAACTAAAGCTACATTTGGATGTAGTCAGTGAGGCTTAAGATTATTAATGGAGGTCTGCAACAACACTTAATTTAGGTCTGTAAAATGGTGTTTAGAGGTTTAATTGAACTGTTATTACCCCTGAGAAGCAGTTTGAATGCAATGAGAGTGTAAAAAACACTTTTTGTTTCTCAGGCATCACAAACTATGATGAGTATTCGCTGGTGCGTGACGTGGGAGAGGAAAAGAAAGAAGAGGCCACGGGAACACTGAAAAGAGACAAGACCCTCCTGAGGGATGACAAAAAAATGGAGAAACTCAAACAGAAACTTCACACAGATGATGAGTGTATGTCGCATCCTGCTTACCATGAATAAAACAAATATTGATGCATATTATTTTGTTGTTTTAGCAGTTCTTCAAAACAATACATACAGTATATTCTCAACCTGTTCACTGCAAGGAAGTATGGGAATTTCATAGTGACCAAATGTATATTCTCATGTAAATTTCTTTACTTTGCACTCTGACTAATCCATTAAAAAATACATATAATAAAATTTTTGGTTTTGCAAAGAAATTCTAAGGTTTTTAAGATCATGAGCAAAAAAAAAAATCAGTCAAGTGTTTTCGGACATTTACATTTGGATGATTTTGGAATCTAGCTGAATTTGCTGATGTCAAAGCTGCTGTATTTTACCGTATTTTCAGTGAATTGGTTGGATCATGGGCGGACGCTGCGAGAGCAGGGTGTCGAGGAGTCTGAGATGCTGCTTCTCAGGAGAAAGTTCTTCTACTCGGACCAGAATGTGGATTCCAGGGACCCAGTACAGCTCAACCTGCTCTATGTGCAGGTGAACACCACAGAACATCACCTTTACATCATAATCACGTCCTTATGTCATTCGTAAACTGAATGATATCTATACACAGTGTTGGAAGGAAATTAGCGAAAGCTTGTTTCTCTTTGGATCAAAGTCTTTTTCATGTAAATTTTGAGGGTTTTTGTCCTTAATGACAGGGCATTCTGTCAACTACCTGGTTTCTATTTCTGTGGCATTGTACTGGGGAAGCCACGCTCATTTTGAAATCTCAATGGTCTAAAATCACACTCTACATAACTATGTTAAACATCAAATATGGTCTGATTGGCTGTAACTGTGATGCTTTGTGCATCTTTTTCACTTCTGGTGTAGACAGACAAGTTACTTCTTGCTAGAAATGTATCATGCAGTGTCTGCTAATCTTTTGTGTATCCCAGGCCCGTGATGACATCCTGAACGGCTCCCACCCTGTCTCCTTTGATAAGGCCTGTGAGTTTGCCGGATACCAGTGCCAGATCCAGTTCGGAGACCACAATGAGTCTAAACACAAACCTGGATTCCTTGAGTGAGCTCAGCGCATTTCTGTTTCTCCTTACAACCTGTATCTGTGTAATGTACTGGTTTAGTTGCATAGAAACTTTTTATTTGGGTTGTTAATATATGAAAACATTTAATCACCTAAATGTTTGGTAGTTAATGCCATCAGAGCCTTCAAAACCAACAAATCCTGCATTTCTCAAACTGCATGAGAACAGACACAGAACTTAAAATAACAACATGTGTTTACATGTACATTCATGGTTACGTTTACTATTAGGTTTGAGGAAGAGAAAATGACTCTTTCAGCTTGATCAATCAGTTCTCAAAATATTGAAATATTTGCTTTCACTTCTGGTGTAGACAGACAAGTTACTTCTTGCTAGAAATGTATCATGCAGTGTCTGCTAATCTTTTGTGTATCCCAGGCCCGTGATGACATCCTGAACGGCTCCCACCCTGTCTCCTTTGATAAGGCCTGTGAGTTTGCCGGATACCAGTGCCAGATCCAGTTCGGAGACCACAATGAGTCTAAACACAAACCTGGATTCCTTGAGTGAGCTCAGCGCATTTCTGTTTCTCCTTACAACCTGTATCTGTGTAATGTACTGGTTTAGTTGCATAGAAACTTTTTATTTGGGTTGTTAATATATGAAAACATTTAATCACCTAAATGTTTGGTAGTTAATGCCATCAGAGCCTTAAAATAACAACATGTGTTTACATGTACATTCATGGTTACGTTTACTATTAGGTTTGAGGAAGAGAAAATGACTCTTTCAGCTTGATCAATCAGTTCTCAAATTAATTCATTAATAAATAAATTCATTCTACTTTTTTACTTTTTCCTCATCGTATGTTCACAAACAGTATGTTTTCATTAAAATAGTTTGGCCATCATCTTTGTTAACATTTTCATCAGTAACATCATTGACGAGATTACCAGTGTTTTTATGAATGACAGCGTTTCATTTGTTCCCAGCACAAGCTACTGCTAAAATCACCAGCCCAGATTGCTTTAATTCTCAAAACATTCATTAAAAGAAATCACTTAATTCTTGCTTCCTGTCTTTCTCATCCAGTTTGAAAGAATTCTTGCCCAAAGAGTACATCAAGAACAAGGGCGAGAAAAGGATCTTCCAGGTGAGGTTATGCAGGTTATGTGTAATTCATTATTTTTCATACCCATGTTAGACGCAGCATGATGCGCTATATTAATCACAATTTAATGATAAACTCTTCTATTTAAGGCACACAAAAACTGCCAAAACATGACCGAGATTGAGGCCAAAGTAAGCTACGTCAAACTAGCCAGATCTCTGAAAACCTATGGAGTGTCCTTCTTTTTAGTCAAGGTAACGATCTCATACGATATCTGAGCTCTAATATTAATGCTTTCTTGTGTCAATGGTAATGTTTATTCTCTTCACAGGAAAAAATGAAAGGAAAGAATAAGCTTGTTCCGCGTTTGTTGGGCATCACTAAAGAGTGTGTGATGAGAGTGGATGAGAAGACCAAAGAGGTGATACAGGAGTGGAGTCTGACCAACATCAAACGCTGGGCCGCTTCTCCCAAGAGCTTCACGCTGGTACCAGCACACTCCTCTAAACACACACACTGTGTTCTGATGAGAACTCACACTTGAACTGAAATGGCTCTGTGATTACGATGTGTGCTAAGGGTGGAATAGGTTGTGTCACAGTTCTGTTTCCGTCTGTTTGTGTTGCATATCGTGTTTCTGTGTCACAGTGCCTTTCCGGTTCGATTTGGTAAATACTTGGTGGTTTGTTTAACCTCTTTAGGGATTGTTTAGGTTGAATAATGTTCACCCAAAAATTACAATTCTGTCATACGTTTAATAAAATTTCATTATTTATGTCCATTCTTTGAAAGTCCACACAACCTATCAACACACCCATTAACGTAAACTACGCCAGAGTGCGTACACACCTTGCGCGCCGGAAGCCGTGCGCGTGCTCAAAGACGGTTGGACATAGTGGTGTATTAGAGGTAAAAAATTATATAAATACTGTTCGGTTTCTCACACAAACCGATCGTTTCATGTCTTAGGACATCAATGTGTCGTCATGAGCCGCAGGGTTTAATTTGGATTTGTCTGTGCATGTTTTTTTTTACTCTCATAGACTTTGTTACCATTGCCATGCATTATACGACTGACAGATTGCAACGGCTGGAGTTCAAAATCTTCATTTGTGTTCTACTGAAGAAACAAAGTCACCTACATCTTGGATGCCCTGGGGGTAAGCAGATAAACATCACATTTTCATTTTTGGGTGAACTATCCCTTTAAAGTATCAAAAAGTCCTGAAAGAAATCATAAAAATTGTTCTGAAGTCTTTGGAACGACATGAGTAAACCGCTTCACCCCTAGCACATACGTTTGTTTTTCGAGCTAGCCTTTGTGCAGAACGTGCTGTCCTGTAATAGTTTTGTGATGTTCCTTTGGCAGTGAGTTTATTATTATTACGACGACTTTACTTAATGTTTTCCTTGTGATTCAGATCAGTGTCCACAGGAAGTTTGATTCACATAATTTTTTTAGCTCTGACATCAAGGGCTCAGTTATACAAGAAACTCTTTTTGTGATTTGTGAAGTTTGTGCATCTGACGTCAGTTACACTTTATTTAGAAACTGAAAAGAACAGATCATCCTCTAACAACAGATTTCAAAACTTTTGTCAGCTGACCCCCTTTGAACTGAATTATTTACACATTTGCATGTTTATAGTTCTCTGATGCCAACATAAACAGGCTATATATCTTGTGTTTTTAGGAAGTGATTTATTTCGATTTTTGATTAATTTATGATGCTTTGCATCACCTGACAAACCTCCTGCAGTTCCTTCATGAACCCCAGTTTGGGGAACTAATAATGCCCGATAATATTTTCAGACACATGTTAAAGCCCGATGTGCTACGACAGACCTTTAAGCAGTTCCTGTTTCATGTAATAGACAAAGCTGAAGCAGTAATCAATGCTGAACACTGAATCCAGGGAGAGAGATTGTTTATGCTTCATGAAGCGCAGCAGTAATTCAGTATTTAGACTCTGCTTGCAGACTTATTGATCACATTAAGGCAATATCATTTCAATAATTACTTGACAGTTGTTTCCGTCCTCCAGATCCCTGTCAATACACACTCAGTCACACTCAATGCATTTTGCATGTTTTTTCTTGCTGCACAGATTTCTCAAACCTTTGTGAATTAGGGTGGATCTATTCCATCCCTGCTTTGTAATTGCACCATGAATATTTTCTAAACCTGAGACAATATTTGCTCATTTTATACAGCCTAATGTATGAATGCACAATTCACTGCTTCATTATTAACTTTATATTACTTAATCATCCAAACAGTTGTTTTACTATTCAGTGTTTTATAGTGTGCCATATTATTTACTCTGTTGTTATTTTTGTTGCCCTTTTGAGTGTCATGTGTTTAATCTTTCTTCTTCAGGACTTTGGAGACTATCAGGATGGTTACTACTCAGTTCAGACCACCGAAGGAGAGCAGATCGCACAACTCATCGCTGGTTACATCGACATCATTCTCAAGAAGGTAACATGCCATGACCAATCTGATTGTTAAAACTGAATAAATCATGTGAAGCCTGACACTTATTTTTGATTTCACGTATTTATTGGACTCACAAGACTAGAAGTGTGACTGAGTTTACTAAGACTCTGATGCATAATACTCACACAACTAAAAACTGGCTGTCATTACGCAACTTCTAGGAGTAAGTTTACAAGTTTACACAGTACCAGGTTAATACAAGTGCTTTTGAGGAAAAACTGTTCACTGGATTTGAAAAAGTTCTCAATTTTTGCTGCATCCTATCTTTGATATATGTTCAGACATTTCTTTGATTATTTATTTTGTGCGTCCAGAAAGTGTAAGTTTTCAATGTTTTGGTGTTTTCTCATACAACCATTTGCAGAGACTGATCCATTGTTATTGACGGACTATTATTAACTATTTTAACTCCTTAAGAAATCCCTTAGTGATAACCCCTTCTAAAGGGGTTATTCACGTCAAGTCAATTTTAGTTGTCTATAGTGCTTTTCTTAATACACATTTTCAAAGCAGCTTCACAGAAAGTCATGATGCTAGCATTTATAACATCTTAATTATAATCTTCGTGCCTTAGAGTTGTGTAAAATAGTTACATGTGACGATACAGGCGATCAATGTTTAGAGGCTTGCTATAATATAGTATATATCGGCCTGCACGAGTGTATGTGCAGATAAAGTTTGATTTAATATATATCTAACTTTATAAATAGAGCTATGTGATAATACATTTTGTTATGATAGAAACAATCACGCAGCCGAGATTTGCAATGTAGTATGCGTTATGTAAGTGTACTGTATTTATGCAGGTAAAGTAGTACAGGTACATCTCAAAAAATTTTAATATCATGAAAAAGGTCAATATTTTTTGTCACTCATTTCAGAAAGTGAAACCCATATATTATATAGATTCATTACACATAGAGTGAAATATTTCAAGCCTTTATTTCTTGAAATTTTGATGATTATGGCTTACAGATAATGAAAACCCAAAATTCAGTGTCTCAGAAAATTTGAATATTGTGAAAAAGTTCAATATTGGAAAGTCATGGGGTCACACCCTAATCAGCTAATTACCTCAAAACACCTGCAAAGGTTTCCTGAACCTTTAAATGGTCTCTCGAGACCTGAACCCGTATTGTCAAGAGGAAGATGAGAGACACCAGACCCAACAATGCAGATGACCTGAAGGCCGCTATCAAAGCAACCTGGGCTTCCATACCACCTCAGCAGTGCCACAGGCTGATTGTCTCCATGCCACGCCGCACTGATGCAGTAATTCATGCAAAAGGAGGCCCAACCAAGTATTGAGTGCATAGAAATGAACATACTTTTCAGAAGCCTGACATTTCTGTTTAAAATATCCATTTTTTTATTGATCTTATGTAATATTCAAATTTTCTGAGACATTGAATTCTGGGTTTTCATTATCTGTAAGCCATAATCATCAAAATTTCAAGAAATAAAGGCTTGAAATATTTCACTCTATGTGTAATGAATCTATATAATATATGGGTTTCACTTTCTGAAATGAGTGACAAAAAATATTGACCTTTTTCATGATATTCTAATTTTTTGAGATGTACCTGTATGTACTATATATACAACTTATAAAATATTGCTGGGTGGTGATGATATAGTTTATATTTTTTAATGATATAAGAATCAAGCATTTGAGATGCGCTTAAAGTGAGCATATGTGCATGTATCAGGGTAAGGTTGGATATACTTATAGTAGTTGTTTAATTTGTTATCAGTTATTAATTTGTTAATTAATTGAGTTATTAACTTGTTATGTGCTGATATTGAGAATTATGAAACACTGCAACTGGCCACTGCCCAAACAAACGGTGGTACATTGATTTACATGTCTCTGCCTGTCTAAGAGGGCATTTCCTTGACAGAATTAGCTGCATTGTGGACCAGACTTTATGCTGTTACAAAGGTTTGGCTGTGCGACTCTTCTGCTGATTACACATTATCACACATTATCTGCTGCTGCAGGCATTCCTAATGGCTCTTTTGAAAACGCAGGGATTTTGCAATGGGCCTTTCATTAGCAACACTCCCTTCATAACCATCAAGCTGCTAGTTTCACAATAGTCCTGTGGCCTGAGAGGTCAGTCTGTAGATGTTGATAAGTTCAGTTATTAAGCAGATCTTGTTCTTGTCATACCAGTCTCATTTGTTATGGTTGTGTAATGCATCCATGTGAAATTGCTGCTGCTGGTTCTCCGCAGTGTGAGGAATTCCTCAACAAACCTTCATGTTTGACCAGTCTAGAGAAACCTGCTGTGGCAACAAAGTGCTTCTCACAAGTATCTTTCCCTAACTCGCTGCGTCTGAAAACCCCTTTATCTGCAGAAAAAGAGCAAAGATCACTTCGGCCTGGAGGGCGATGAGGAATCAACCATGTTGGAGGACTCCGTGTCTCCCAATAAGTGAGCCTCTTTTCATAGTTCAGTAAAATGACATATTGCACACAAGTATCACTCATGGCATTAGGTCTGATGGTAACCTGTGATGTATCATGCTCCAGGTCAACAGTTCTCCAGCAGCAGTTTAATAAGGTCGGGAAGGTGGAGACGGGCTCTGTCGCTCTGCCGGCCATCATCCGCTCTGGTGCCGGAGGTCCAGAGAGCTTCCAGATGGGCTCCATGCCACAGGCCAAACAGCACATCACCAGCGGACAGATGCACCGAGGACACATGCCCCCTCTGGTCAGATATGCACATGCACAAACATACAGCCGGTGGATAAGATACCACAAATACCATGTACAGAGCGTATAGGGTTGAATGTGCTCTGAAGGATGGGCTCTGCTCTTGATATGTATATGAGACGTGTCTGTTGGTGTAATTGTGATCACTCTGCCTGTTTTGTCTGAATGGTGTTCGGCGCTGTTTGTTTGGGCTGTGCAGTGAGGTGTCCGTGTTCTCTCTATCTGGCAGATATCAGCTCAGCAGGCTTTGACTGGCACCATTAACTCCAGTATGCAGGCGGTGCAGGCAGTTCAGGCCTCTCTCGTTGAGTTTGATGCCCTGCCTCCACTGGGCACTGATGCGGTGAGATGCATTATTCATATGCCTGTATATATATCTTTTAATGTCTCAGTCATTTTTATAATTTGCAATAGTTGTATTTAACCCTAGTGTTCTGTTTGGGTTATTTTTGACCCAGGTGAAAAATAAAATCTGTGAAAAAATTATAATACTTGCTTGCTTATTTATTTATTTATTTATTTTTAAATGCATTTGGTTTCCCTACAACATTGTTCCAAAATTATGTATTATATCATTTTGTATATACAGTGGGGCAAATAAGTATTTGATACACTGCTGATTTTTCAAGTTTTCCCACTTACAAAGAATGGAGAGATCTGTAATTTTCATCGTAGGTACACCTCAACTGTGAGAGACAGAATAAAAAAAAAATCCAGAAAATCACATTGTATGATTTTTAAATAATTAATTTCCATTTTATTGCATGAAATAAGTATTTGATCACCTACCAACCAGCAAGAATTCTAGCTCTCACAGACCTGTTAGTTTGTCTTTAAGAAGCCCTCCTATCCTCCACTCATTACCTGTATTAATTGCACCTGTTTGAACTTGTTACCTGTATAAAAGACACTGGTCCACACACTCAATCAATCAGACTCCAACCTCTCCACTATGGGCAAGACCAAAGAGCTGTCTAAGGACACCAGGGACAAAATTGTAGACCTGCACAAGGCTGGGATGGGCTACAGGAAAATAGGCAAACAGCTTGGTGAGAAGGCAACAATTGTTGGCGCAATTATTAGAAAATGGAAGAAATTCAAGATGACTGTCAATCTCCCTCGGACTGGGGCTCCATGCAAGATCTCGCCTCGTGGAGTATCAATGATCCTGAGAAAGGTGAGGGATCAGCCTAGAACTACACGGGAGGACCTGGTCAATGACCTGAAGAGAGCTGGGACCACAGTCTCAACGGTTACCATTAGTAACACACTACACCGTCATGGATTAAAATCCTGCAGCGTGGGCAAGGTCCCCCTGCTCAAGCCAGCACATGTCCAGGCCCGTCTGAAGTTTGCCAAAGACCATCTGGATGATCCAGAGGAGGCATGGGAGAAGGTCATGTGGTCAGAGGAGACCAAAATAGAAGTTTTTGGTATAAACTCCACTCGACGTGTTTGGAGGAAGAAGAAGAATGAGTATAATCCCAAGAACACCATCCCAACCGTGAAGCATGGGGGTGGAAACATCATGCTTTGGGGGTGCTTTTCTGCAAAGGGGACAGGACGACTGCACCGTATTGAGGGGAGGATGGATGGGGCCATGTATTGCGAGATTTTGGGCAACAACCTCGTTCCCTCAGTAAGAGCATTGAAGATGGGTCGTGGCTGGGTCTTCCAGCATGACAATGACCCCAAACACACAGCCAGGGCAACTAAGGAGCGGCTCCGTAAGAAGCATTTCAAGGTCCTGGAGTGGCCTAGCCAGTCTCCAGACCTGAACCCAATAGAAAATCTATGGAGGGAGCTGAAACTCCATGTTGCCCAGCGACAGCCCCAAAACCTGAAAGATCTGGAGAACACCTGTATGGAGGAGTGGGCCAAAATCCCTGCTGCAGTGTGTGCAAACCTGGTCAAGAACTACAGGAAGCGTCTGACCTCTGTAATTGTAAACAAAGGTTTCTGTACCAAATATTAAGTTCTATTTTTCTATTGTATCAAATACTTATTTCATGCAATAAAATGGAAATTAATTATTAAAAAATCATACAATGTTATTTTCTGGATTTTTTTTTTTGATTCGGTCTCTCACAGTTGAAGTGTACCTATGATGAAAATTACAGATCTCTCCATTCTTTGTAAGTGGGAAAACTTGAAAAATCGGCAGTGTATCAAATACTTATTTGCCCCACTGTATTTATGGAATTAAAAAAAAAAGTTTCCAGCAGAAACTCAAATAAAAACGGCATATTTTTCAAACACTTTTCAAACACAAATTATTGAGAAAATATCTAAATTAGCATATACCAAATTTCATGTACAAAATCATGGTAGTGCTGTAATTTTTTATTTTTTTTACATTGAAGTTGGGTCATTTTTGACCTGAGAATAACAGGTGTATTTTCTGAACAGTTCACAAGGGTTAAGATAGTGTGTTTGAAGTTGTTTTCTTTTGGTCTGGACTCTGGAGGTTAAAATATTTGACCTTTTTTGATATGTGACTGAAATAGCTCGAGTTGTAAAGCTCTATTGATAAACAGTATCTCTGCAACTTGAGGGACTGAGACATCGGTAGGGTTCTGGAGTGATATTTGAGCGATTCAGATTAAAACCAGAAGAAAAATTCTATGCATAAGGCAATTTTTTAAAATTAATTGTGACCCTGTACCACAAAACCAATCATAAGGGTTTTATGATTTATAATTCATAAAGATTTATGCATCATCTGAAAGCTGAATAAATAAGCTCTCCATTGATGTATGGTTTGTTAGGATAGGACAATATTTGGCTGAGATACAACTATTAGAAAATCTGGAATCTGAGGGTGCAAAAAAAATCTAAATATTGAGAAAATCGTCTTTAAAGTTGTCCAAATGAAGTTCTTAGCAATGCATATTACTAAACAAAAATTACGTTTTGATATTTACAGTAGGACATTTACAAAACATCTTCATGGAACATGATCTTTGCTTAATATCCTAATGATTTTTGGCATAAAAGAAAAATCAATCATTTTGACCCATACAATGTATTTTTGGCTATTGCTACAAATATACCCCAGCAACTTAAGACTGCTTTTGTGCTCCAGGGTCACAATTTAACCTTTATTTAACCAGTCTTTAAGAACAGGTTTGTATTTACAATAACAGCCTGGCAGGAGAGTTAATGTCTCCTGAAGGACATACAAACATACATTACAATATGTGTACAAAACACACACACAGAAAAGGAAAGGAGAAAAACACCTCAATTAAAACGTGAGGTGAGGGGGGGGGACTTTTGAAAAACTTCTGAATCAGGGCTAAATGAATGATTAGAAGGGAATATAGATATACGGCATGTGGATGTCTGGAAAGAAACATTTCTGACATGCTGCTGTAATCAGCTGTAAAGTGATGAATGTATATGTGCTCAGTACTTGTATTAAACAACCTCTCTCTGATGTTTAGGCATCTCAAGCATGGAGGAAGAACAAAATGGATGAGTCCAAACATGAGATTCACTCTCAGGTGGACGCCATCACTGCGGGAACTGCCTCCATGGTCAATCTGACTGCAGGTGACACACAATGACATGTTTCAGCCGGCAACCCTGTATTCTGCCTGTTTCCTTAGCATCGCACTAGCTGACAACTCTTCTTGACTGTGTGCTTGCTATGCAAAATATGTGCAGCTTCAGTGAAAAGATCATTTTTAGTTCCCCCACTGACTTTTGGTCCTGTGGTAAAATGTAGTCTGTCCCTGAACGTGTGTGTCAGGTGACCCGGCAGAGACGGATTACACCGCTGTGGGCTGTGCTGTCACCACCATCTCCTCCAACCTGACCGAGATGTCTAAGGGTGTCAAACTGCTGGCGGCGCTGATGGAGGACGAGGGAGGACGTGGCCAACAGCTTCTGGGTGCTGCCAAGAGCCTGGCTTGTGCTGTGTCTGAGATGCTCAAGACCGCTCAGCCCGCCAGTACTGAGGTATCAGCACTTACAGTACAAACATAGGATTGAGAATGTGGCAAACAGTTGATGAGGTGGATTCAGTGGTGTGTTAGTAGTAGGACTGGGGATTGTAAGGAATCTAGTGGTTGTGTTTTGGGTAATGATTCTGGTTCCCTTAAAGGTTTTCTGAAGAAATCAAAGCCTAAAACCTAAACAAACACTACCATTCAAACGTTTGGGGTCAATAAAAATATTGTTTTTAAATTTCTGATAGACATCTCGTTGGGTTCACCAAGCCTGCATTTATTTAATCTGAAATAAAGTAAAAACAGTAATTTTGTGAAATATTAAACAATTTGAAGTAGACAAAAAGTAGAAACAATTTGATTTCTATTTGAGTATATATTAAAATGTAATTTATTCCTGTGATCAAAGCTGAATTTTCAGCATCATTACTCCAGTCTTCAGTGTCACATGATGCTTCAGAATCATTCTAATATGCTGATTTACTGAAGCAAATGCATTATTATCAATGTTGAAAACAGGTTTGCTGCTTAAAGGAACACTCCACTATTTTTGAAAATAGGCTCATTTTCCAACTCCCCTAGAATTAAACAGTTGAGTTTTACCGTTTTCGAATTCATTCAGCCGTTCTCCGGGTCTGGCGGTAGCACTTTTAGCTTAGCTTAGCATAGATCATTGAATCTGATTAGACCGTTAGCATCTCGCTCAAAAATGACCAAAGAGTTTCTATATTTTTCCTATTTAAAACTTGACTCTTCTGTAGTTACATCGTGTACTAAGATCGACGGGAAATTAAATGTTGTGATTTTCTAGGCCGATATGGCTAGGAACTATACTCTCATTCCGGCGTAATAATCAAGGAACGTTGCTGCAGTGCAGCAGGCGCAATGATATTACGCAGCGGTAAAACTCAGCTCTTTAACTCTAGGGGAGCTGGAAAATGAGCCTATTTTCAAAAATAGTGGAGTGTTCCTTTAATATTTTTGTTGAAACCATGACTCATTTTTTTCAGGATTCTTTGATAAATAAAAAGTTTAAATGAACAGCATTTATTTGAAATAGAAATATTTTGTAACATTATAGATGTGTTTACTCTCACTTGTGATCAGTTTAATGAATCCTTGCTGAAAAAAATGTATTGCTTTAAAAAAATTTTTTTACAATAGTTAAAACTTTACCACAATTTTTTATTTTTTTTTGCTGTCTTGCATTGCTTTGTCCTTTAGAAAACGCTAATAACTCTGTAAATCTAGATGTTATGAGCAAATACTGCTTTAATGTTGCCTTTGCTGTTATGATATGTTAATATTGCTGTGTGTGTCTTCAGCCGCGACAGAACCTCCTGCAGGCAGCGGGTAATGTGGGTCAGGCCAGCGGTGAACTCCTGCAGCAGATCGGAGAGTCCGACGCGGATCAGCACAATCAGGTGTGACACACACACACACACACACACACACACACACTGATGCTGTGACTGTAACGCATTAACCTGTGTTCTCATCAGTCTGTAGGTACAGCAGCGTTCACACACTCCAGACGGACACACTATAGTCAAATGCTGGCAACAACACACAGAAAGAACAGTTCATATTCACCAGCCAATCAAGCTAATGCAACAGTGATCAGTGATTTAATGATCACGGTTTGACCTGGATTTCGTGTAGTCACACAGAGACCGTCTGTCAGATCATGGTGTGGTGACGGGTCTTTATATTCTCATCCATATCCACTGGAAATCAATCATTGCATTATCCACACAGTTTCTCTGCATGAGAGATTTCATCATTTAATCATATCATAATTCTCTAAATTTACATTTTGTGTATACAGACCTGTAACTATCAGTAATGAACTGGTGGTTTTCCTGTGTTGAGACGTATCAAAGAGCTCATCCCTTTTTATCTAGAAGTGTTTAGTTTGCTAAAAAAGCCACACTTAAGAGCTTGTGACAGCCACTGTAACATTTTTCTAGTAATTACCAATTATTACTACAGTAAAATAAAAAAAAACTTTGTTTTAGTAATCATTAGGGCTGCACAGTATTGGAAATAACGGACTTTGCGATATGAACAAAACAAACAATGAACTGCTTGCTATATTTGGAAATAGTTCATTGTTCTAGAAGTATTTTGGGTGGTTTATTGGGAGGGGTGCATCTGCATAGAACAGAAAAAAGCTGGAAAAATGACTGAAGATTGTTTGTGTGGATCATTCTTTGAGGGCTGAATGATTTGGGACAAATGTGGGTGTTCACACTTGAATATACTCGTTACATAACCAACTCAAACCTCTTTCGTTAGCCATAAAGTGAGCAGAATTAAATATTTGTCTTATTCATTAGGGTTTCAGAGTGAAGCGTGGCACTGTGTTGGTTTACACTAAAACACTAAACCAGGCTTGATTCACACTGATGCGATGCAGATTTAGTGAGAGGCAGGTGAATTAGGAGGAGGTTCTTGTTGTAGAAAGCATTTCTCCTTCGTATTTTGAATCATCAATTTCTCTGGGTCTATATATATTCCTTGAAAGAGAGACACTTTTTCAAATGTTTAGGATTGCATTAGCCTACAGTTATTGCTGTTAAAAGCAAATGAGCATGATTTTGTTTTCGTGATGTCTTCCATATGTGTGGTTTGGGCTCATGGATCTCATAGCTGTGACAGTTTAAATGGTTCTGAATGTTCTGAAGTCTTTTATCGGTTCTAATGTGATAATGTTCGAAACAAACCCTCTATGTTTGGTTGCGAATGTCTTTTCACTCTTCACACAGCCGAACTGAAGGGGAAGTTTCGTGCTACAGTCGTGTGCATGTCCTTATTTGGACAGAACGCTTATCAGAACAAGTTTAACGCATTTGGTAACGTGAGGTTTAATGGAAATCATTCTGAACAGGACAATTCTAGTGCCGCCCTGCCCTCTGTTTATGTACAACACTGCTTGTTCTTTGAAGCGTTTATAGTGATTCTAGCGCTGTATCTGACAGCTTTACAGCTCTCTGTATAGTGTGTAGTGCTCGTATCTGGGTCATTCTCAAAGTTTTCTCTGCTGAGTATTTAGCAATTTGACTGAATAAATAAGCTTTCCATTGATGTATGATTTGTTAGGATAGGACAATATTTGGCCGAGATACAACTATTTGAAAATCTGGAATCTGAGGGTGCAAAAAAATCTAAATATTGAGAAAATCATCTTTAAAGTTGTCTAAATGAAGTTCTTAGCAATGCATATTACTAATCAAAAATTAAGTTTTGATACATTTACAGTAGAAAATTTACAAAATATATTCATGGAACATGATCTTTACTCAACATCCTAATGATTTTTGGCATAAAAGAAAAATTTATAATTTTGACCCATACAATGTATTTTTGGCTATTGCTACAAATATACCCCAGCGACTTAACACTGCTTTTGTGCTGCATGGTCACATATTATATCTGTCTAATTAAGTTAACTAGCTTGTTTAATTGTGTATGTGTGTGCAGGACATGTTGATGCAGTTGGCGAAGGCTGTGGCTAATGCAGCGGCGGCTCTGGTGTTAAAGGCCAAGAAATTTTGCCTAGTAGTGGATACATACAAGACGGTTCACTCATTTCACTATGAATAGCACCCAAGTCTCGATTAAAATCAAAAGGAGACAGGGCCTTTTCTGTTGCAGCTCCTCGTTTATGGAATAGTTTACCTCTCCATGTTACATCTTGTGCCACTCTTGATGTTTTTAAAGCTCATTTAAAGACTCATCTCTTCTCTCTTGCATTTGACTGTAATTAATTTGATCTATTTTTGTGATGTGTTGCTGTGTTTTATAATTTTAGACTGTGTGTGCTATGTCTGATTTGTAAAGCACTTTGGCCAATGTCTGTTGATTTTAAACGTGCTATATAAATAAAACAGAATAGAATATGAATGAGAGGAAATGCAATCCGCAATGTGGCAGAATAAGTCCCACTTTCTAAATAAAAGAGCCACTCGCCAATTTGAGGATAAGAAAGCACATTAATGGCTCAGCTGATGTCAGATTTTATTACTGATTTGAAATACTGATTTAAATGAGGGTGTAACAAGCAGTTTTTGGATTTCAGAATTTCCTTATTCAGGTAGATAGAATTTGGGTCTTGCATAAGCAGCTATAGGTAGCTCTATCTGTGGTTTTTATAATAAATATGTTTGTCATATCTGTTCGTCAGAATGCAGCGAAACAGGCCGCGGCGGCCGCCACTTTTTTTTTTAATAAAAATAATATATATATATATATATATATATATATATATATATATATAGTTTTTTATTTGTTAGACAGAATCTGGGGACATTTTCAATGTGCTGTATTTTGGGGGGGAATCTGTTAAATTCTACAGAATGAATTTAAGATTAGATTAAATGTGCATTGCACATATATTGCACATTTATTTATTTATTAAATAAGAAATGCATGATGGATGTTCCATTTTGGTGGTTTTTTTGGATACAGATTCTCTACCTGTGCCCTGGTGATGACACACTTACTGAATAATATTTTGAACCAAAAGGACGTCATTTTACTTCTGTAGCATGACACATTCCCTAATATACCATAATATTCAACTAGAAAAAATGTAGGAAACTTTTGTTTGAATGATCTATATTTGACAGGTGGATGGAGGGGAGACGTTGTAAAATATGAGAGCTTGGTGTCATCCGCCAAATAGGAAAGTCATTTCAGAGGAAGAGCAAGTTATTACATTTCAATGAAAGATAATGAAGCCAGTTATATCCACAGATGAATCATCCACATATTATTTAGAAAGTAAATGGGGTCCATTCTTCTAGAACTGTGATATACACATGTATAGAAAGTAAGTGAACATGACAGAGGCCTGGTGAACATGTAATTTCACATGGTTGTCTGCCTTCTGTCTCTGTCTGACTCAGGCTCAGGAGGCGTGTGGTCCTCTGGAGATTGATAACGCTCTCACAATGGTACGGGGGCTGGAGAGGGACATGCAGGAGGCCAAAGCTTCAGCTTCTGAAGGCAAACTCAAACCCCTGCCTGGAGAAACGGTGAGGGCATCAGTACACAGTATGTGTGCGAACAGTACATGCACTTGAACATACCTGCAGCCAATAAGTGTCCAGCACGCATGCAGACTCATTCAGTACTGTTCAAAAAGCATCCCAGGATGCGCCTGAGAAAGTTAGTTGAGAAAATACATAATACTACATCATTTCAAAACTTCCCTTTGTGTTGTTCCATTGTTTTTGCGATAACTCTAAATGTGGAAAATAGTAATATCGAAGAATGAGTATGTGTGTTCAAATGTTTGTGCAGACATGATCTTTATCTGTCAGTTTTCACACCTATACCCACAAGTCAGGAGCTGCATGTCACAAAAACAGCTGCTAGACAGAAGCCACTACACCGACAGATATTTACTTGTCTTTTCGAGCACGCTTTAGCTTAGAGACACATTTAGTTTCTTGTATAAGCTATGTTGCTGATGACAGATGATCTTAAAACTCAATGGGTATTTTCATAATGAATATACATATGTGACCTGTGCTGGCAAAATGAGTCACAATGAGCAAATTTTCAAAAATGAGTTCTCTTCATTTTCACATTCACATTGGAATCGGGTAAAAAATGACTGAGCTACACCTGTTTGAATTCAGCAAAGTCAATTCTGAGAAAAATCGAGTTAAAGTTTTCTGAAGGTTCCAAAGCAAAATCACCTGCGGCATCTTTTCCTGCACGTCTTTACTTAATAATAATTACTATATTAATAGTCACAATATAGCTATTTTTTATTTTATCTTTATTATTATGAATAAGAACGGATGCAAAAAAACAAAACAAAAAACAGTAGAACAAATATAAGAAAAAACAAATAATGCATTAACATTTTCACTTTACATCTAAACAGAAGCATTCAAGAAAAACAAATAATCAAATGTAAAAATCCCTTTAGTCTGTTCATTACAAATAAATTGATTATTAAAACTACAAAAGCAGTTCAATCAAGAGCAGCGAGTAATTCCCTCTTTTCTTTTATTGATAAATTAACATTAATGATACAGACGTCCTATACTGTAATGCACGGTTCTAATATAATGTTACACATCAGATGTTTTTCCCCAACAGTTCCCCAAACGTTCACTTAAGACAAAACAGATTATGTTTGCGTGAATACTTAAATACTGTAATTCTGTGTATATGTGTATATTTATCGGGATCGTGTAATTAACATCTAAAATTAATATTTGGAGCATTGGGATCGCTAGACGAGGGCTTAATGAACTCATTTTTGTGAAAACCTAAAAATCAACTAAATTTTTCACTTCTTTTGCCTGTAGCTCAAAATTAGCCTGTGCACATTCCAACTCATTTTGCCAGCAAGGGTCACATATATGTAGTTATGGCAAATTCTAAAATATTTTATCAGATAGAAATTGTGAGTAAAAATATTTTTAAAAATTGCTATCCTTAATCCACTAAATCACGATTAACTGGAAAAGTCATGTAAATTCATTGGTTGAAAAGAGTGGGAATCCGTTCTTAAAAAAGCTTGTCAGGCTTTATATAGTATCATTGAAACAATATTGCCTTGCAGTCAAAAGGGTTGAGAACCACTGATATATTGTGTACTGTAGTTATACACCCAATGTAATGTTAGTCACTACAGATGGTGAATACTGTTTTATTTTCAATTCTAAAAAGGTACACTGTGAATGAAAAGCACAAAGTGTTCCTTCAGCTTGTATTATTGATACCCATAGGCCTGTTTGAGCATGCTTTCTGAAATATAAAAATATGATTTCTTTAACACAGCTCTGTGTGTGTGTGTGTGTGTGTGTGTGTGTGTGTAGCTGGAGAAGTGTTCTCAGGATCTGGGCTCCAGCACTAAAGCCGTGAGCTCTGCTATTGCTCAGCTCCTCAGTGAAGCCACCCAAGGCAATGAGAACTACACAGGTAACCCCATCAATCTCACATGCTGCCAACTCTTGGCTAGTTTCAGCACTTTGCCAGTCTGTTCAGAGGTTATGATCAAGCCCATGTCCGATGGCATGTTATGCAGCGCCCCCTGTCTGTGGAATATATTATTCATCTGTTGCTGCTGTAACAAGCACAGGCAGGTGGTGTGACATAGTGGTTGAAGATCTTTCTCGTAACTCAGCCCATATGTTGCAGGTTTGAAACCCATAAGGGTTAGTCATGTGTTCATTGTGGGCACCCTCAATCTCTCTTAATGTCTGTTTGTGGATGGTTTACGTGTGTTTTGCAGGTATGGCTGCTCGTGACGTGGCTCAGGCTCTGCGTTCGCTGGCTTCGGCTGCTCGTGGAGTGGCCGCTAACACCGAGGACCCTCATGCCCGTAACGCCATGCTCGACTGCACCGCGGATGTCATGGACAAATCCGCCAGCCTGATCGAGGAGACCAAGAGAGCCATTGCCAAACCGGGAGACCCTGACAGCCAGCAGAGACTGGCCCAGGTTAAACCCAACCTCATTTAGAGTACTTAATGAGAATAGCTCAATAGAGTGGGTTTAAATTGAGTAACGAAACCTCCCTTTTAATTGCTGATGGGAGATTTGGTCTGCCGTAGGGTGATGTGCCATTATTCTGAAAAATAAATTGCCTGTTGTGTGTCTATGATTAGCATATTTTCAGGTATGGCTGCTCGTGACGTGGCTCAGGCTCTGCGTTCGCTGGCTTCGGCTGCTCGTGGAGTGGCCGCTAACACCGAGGACCCTCATGCCCGTAACGCCATGCTCGACTGCACCGCGGATGTCATGGACAAATCCGCCAGCCTGATCGAGGAGACCAAGAGAGCCATTGCCAAACCGGGAGACCCTGACAGCCAGCAGAGACTGGCCCAGGTTAAACCCAACCTCATTTAGAGTACTTAATGAGAATAGCTCAGTAGAGTGGGTTTAAATTGAGTAACGAAACCTCCCTTTTAATTGCTGATGGGAGATTTGGTCTGCCGTAGGGTGATGTGCCCATTATTCTGAAAATAAAATTGCCTGTTGTGTGTCTATGATTAGCATAACTGGAGAAGCTTATTAAATGTTCTGCTGATGACGAGTGTGTGTGTGTGTGTGTGTTTTCAGGTAGCTAAGGCTGTGTCTCAGGCTCTGAACCGCTCTGTAAACTGTCTGCCGGGGCAGAGAGACGTGGATAATGCCATCAGAACTGTAGGAGAAGCCAGCAAGAAACTCCTGTCTGATAAAGTGAGCCCCCCCCGCCCCCAGCCATAAAGACACTCACAATGTCATTTTCGAGACATTTCACAAAGTATTTTCCAGAATGAAATTTGCAATATTGTTGTCATCTGGATGGTCCTGTGACTTGCATCTGAAGTGCCTTATATAATGTAATTAAAGTCAGCTCATCAAACACACTTGGCCACACAAAAACTGTCCACCTCTAAAAGCCTGTTCACATCAAGACACATGTTTCTTGCCAAAATATGATGCGACAAACAGGTATGTACTATAAATGTGTCTGTTCAGACCAGAAAAACATTTGCATACTGTCAGTGTACTGTCAGTTTTGATGGAGATGCGTAGTAGCCAACCAGTGAGACTCAGGCTTATAGGGACACGCCAGTAGTCGCTTGGGAGTACTCGCAAACAGACTGTTTTGCAACGCAAAAGTAAAAAGCAGAAGAAGACTCCAGAACCATGTTTGATCAACACAGTAGCAAATACAAAAATCTAAACAGCTGCTTAAAAACCCGTAAATACTGTTTGACTTCCTTTGATGGTGTCAGAAACATAAAGCTGCACAGCTCTGCGCTTGTGTGCCGCTGCATTTCTGTTGTTCCATAAGCGCCACCTACTGTCAGACAATGGATTTGCATTTTTATTCCAAATATTGGTGTTGGTGTGAACAGGCTTTAACATTTTTAACTAGACCGTTTCAACATCATAGTCTGCTCATCATCATACTCAACCTAGAAAGAGCTGAATTGAAATTACGTTTGTGAAATATGAGAAGGAGAACGTAAGTCATGCAGCAGAACATGAGTTTGGTTGTCAGCGAGGAACTGACGTAAACAGGGAATGAATCCAGTTGTGATGTGAACCTGCTACACAAGGTCATCTCAGCTCTCCAAATTGGAAATGTCAGGATTTATTTATTTTTTTGCCCGCTTTCCAGTAAAATTACCAACTGTGCTTTGATAAACACCAAACAAAGTCACGTGGAAATTGAATCTGTGTTCAGATTACCAAGGAGGAATTGGCTCAAAAATCATGTTGAAAATCTTATGACTGTCAACCAAGAGAAACTAAAAACTCACAAACAGTCCAAAGGTGTTTTAATTAGGATTGTCAATTTAATGTGTTCATTTAGTGTGATTAATTGCAAAAATTAACTTACTAAAAATCTTAAATTATTGAGATGTGATGCAACTTGATTTAGCGTTCTTTTGTTCTATTTATCTATCTGTTGTTTAAAAATTATTCATCATTAACCATACATCCATCCTTCCATCCAGCCATCAATCTATCCATTCGACTGCATGGCCTTAAAACTTGCAAAACTTTTTTTAATATGTCAATTTCTAGCCAGGCTTTTCTCTTTGTAATCTGGTTTCACTTTTAGTGTTTACTTTGTGTTTCCTGTCCCTGTTAAATATTACATTGAGCCATATTACAGTCACTGTTCCTATTATTAATAGTCGCTCTGATCTTCAGTTCCCAGTGAGCGGGAAGAGTTTCCAGAAGGCACAGGCAAATCTGAACGAGGCGGCGGCCGGACTGAACCAGTCAGCCAATGAGCTGGTGCAGGCGTCACGTGGCACCACCCAGGACCTGTCCAAAGCCTCCGGGAAGTTCGGACAAGACTTCAATCACTTCCTGCTGGCTGGAGTGGACATGGCTGGACAGTCGCAGGCATGGACAGTCAAATTCATTTTATCAAGACTATAGCACTTACACTCATAACCTACTGCCGGATTACTCTAGCTATAGAATCATTTGATGTATGATATTATAGGTTACTGATACAAGTGCTATGTATTAAGTGGAAATATTAAAGATGTGCTAGTTTTTCATTAAGACAAGACCCTGAGAGAGTCATCTGACACTTGATTGATAGATGAGTGTTGTCTTCTCCTCTCGTCTCTTCCTGTAGTCGAAAGAGGACCAGACTCAAGTGGTCACCAACCTGAAGACCATCTCCATGTCCTCCAGCAAACTCCTGCTGGCTGCTAAAGCTCTGTCCACAGACCCCAACTCACCCAACCTCAAAAACCAGCTTGCTGCTGCCGCTCGGTTAGAATCAGCCATCTTCTGCTTTTCAATTCATATTTTGTCATCAAGAATCCGTACAGATTCAAAAATAAGAAATTAAGCAAAGAAATAGTGACTGGAAGTTTTGGATGACTTCAATAATATTTAATTTGAAACAAAATTAGAAGAAGGGTGCACACAAACAGTTTTTGCACCCTTGAACAGCATTGTGCAATTAGGAATGGCATTTTGTACAAACGTGAGCAACCCGTTCATGAATCTGATGGACACTTTACTAATGGCAGTGAAGTAGTGCAACTGATGCTGGTAGGTCACATGATAATGACTACATGATGAATGTGGTTTGTCTGGATTATATGCATACTATTTTTTAGAACTTACTTTTTTAACATTCACTAAGTACTTATTCAATAGAAGAACCTGCTCATAGAGTATGTGATTTTAGACACAGCCATGGCATCGTCGTCTTTCATTTTTTGGCAAACAGTGTTAAGGTGCAATAGTGCCAACTGCTATGATGATTGTCACCTAGTTATATCAGTGCTAGATTATTTACAATATTGTAATATTGTGACCCTGGAGCACAAAAGCAGTGTTAAGTCGCTGGGGTATATTTGTAGCAATAGCCAGAAATACATTGTATGGGTCAAAATGATTGATTTTTCTTTTATGCCAAAAATCATTAGGACATTAAGTAAAGATCATGTTCCATGGAGATATTTTTGTAAATTTCCTACTGTAAATATATTAAAACTTAATTTTTTGATTAGTAATATGCATTGCTAAGAACTTCATTTGGACAACTTTAAAGACGATTTTCTCAATATTTAGATTTTTTTTGCACCCTCAGATTCCAGATTTTCAAATAGTTGTATCTCGGGCAAATATTGTCCGATCCTAACAAACCATACACCAATGGAAAGCTTATTTATTCAGCTTTCAGATGATGCATAAATCTCAATTTCGAGAAATTGACCCTTATGACTGGTTTTGTGGTCCAGGGTCACATATGTGCAGTATTCACATTTTATCAATATTGCATTTTTGAAATTTCATGGTTATTATTGCAACACCCTTAGCTTGTAGCAAAGCATTCTGGGATTGGGAAACGGGATGCTGGTTAATGGTGCGATCACATTAGCAAAACTGCAGCAAAATTTGTCTGTAGCGTAGAGATGTATGAAGCACAGCTCACACAGACCTACAGACCAGTAGGAATCACTGGATTTCGCACACAGAATTTCACAGAGCAACGTAAATGTGAGCGCATCTTTACAATTTGTCAAAAGAAGGTTATCCTAGCAACTATTTGAAACCATCTTCGTTTCAGGAGTGCATCTAAAATGCAGCTCGCTTAGAGAATCGAGTCAGATGCTGTGCTGTGTGATGGCATGTAGCCTAACAGTGCCTGTGATAGTAAGAAAGAAACTGTGCACTCGAGCACACACACAGCTCCTCTATTGAGATGCATTACATAAGTGGCATGCTCGCTTTTATACACATTTGTGTTGGAATGAGCACAGTTATGTAATAGACATCTATAAAGCAAACCTGTTTGTATCTCTGCTGCTCTCTAATGTGTGTGTGAGGGAAAGAGGAAGACGGGATGAAACAACAGCAGCTAATGGCTTTACAGCGCTCGCAATCCAAAAACTCACAGAGCATCAGAGAGAGAGAGAGAGAGAGACTGTGTGTGGTAGCACACGTGGGTGGATAGTTCCTCACAGATCTCTCGCACTATTCCTTCCCTTCCTAGCAAACTCTAATGTCTCTCTATCTCTCGATAGCGCTGTGACAGACAGCATTAATCAGCTGATCAGCATGTGTACCCAGCAGGCTCCGGGACAGAAGGAGTGTGACAACGCTCTCCGTGAGCTTGAGGTGCTTCTGCTCTCTCTTTTACTTCTCATCTTTTCTGTGTTCATCAGTTTGTGTGAGTAACTCGCTCTCATATGCAGCGTTTGATTCTCTCATATTCAGCACTGGGTTTTATGAGGAGAGATGACACACCTTTTGTGCCATGAGTTTGTCCCTTTTGTAGAATAATGTAATAAAATACTTCAAAAATATGTCATTTTTGTATAGACATGTTCTTCCGTATGCGAATATGCTGCATGACATCGTGTTTGATATTGAGCGGCAGTAACTTGTTGTGCTGTTTTTGGATGATATTGGAAATGTCAGCAAAGCAACAGAACACATTTTCAAGGCAGCATCGTTTTCATTTTTCTTCTCAGCTAAAACATACAGAAGCCATTCATACGTTGTGTTTCAGACCAGTTACACTACCGTTAAAAAGTTTGGAGTCAGTAAGATGTTTTAAAGCCTCTTTTGCTCATCAAGGCTGTATTTATTTGATCCAAAATACAGTAAAATGGTAATATTGTGAAGTGTAGTTACAAATAAAAATAGCTTATTTCTATGTGAATGTTATAAAATGTAATTTATTCCTGTGATGCGCAGCTGTATTTTCAGCATCATTCCTCCAGTCTTCAGTGTCACATGATCTTCAGAAATCAGTATAATATGCTGATTTGCTGCTCAAGAGACATTTCTGATTATTATCAATGTTGAAAACAGCTGTGCTGTATTCTGTATTCTTTTATGAATGGAAAGCTCAAATGAATAGCATTTATTTGCAAACTAAATCTTTTGTTAACATTATCAATGTTTTTGATCAGTTAATCCTTGCTGAATAAAGGATTATTATTATTATTTTAATCTCACTGACTGCAAACGTTTGACAGGTTTTGTTTGTTTTTTTGATTAACTTGATTCTTTTTAAGAAATGTAATCTGAACGATGAAGATTGTTGTTCTAGTGTGGACATTTATTGAAACAGCACTGAATGTTAATAACAAAGTAGCATTTGCTCTCTCTAGAATTTATTTAAGGCAGAACTAAAGCCTAAAACCTGAACATAAAAACTTCAGAGCAATATCCGTGTGCGGCATGTGTTGTGTGTGTAACAGTGAGTGTGTCCGCAGACGGTCGGAGGAATGCTGGAGAATCCCACTGAAGCGGTCAGTGATATGGGCTACTTCGACTGCATTGACAGTGTGATGGAGAACTCAAAGGTGCGACACAGATCAGCTTCACTATGAAGAGCTATGCCACCCAGTCGCAGTGTTGAGCTAAAGCTGTGTGTTTATGTTGATGTCGTGTGCAGATTTTGGGTGAGGCCATGGCTGGCATTTTCCATAATGCCAAGAACAGTAACTTGCCAGAATTTGGAGACTCAGTCAGTTCAGCATCTAAAGCGCTATGTGGTCTCACTGAGGCAGCCACTCAGGTAAAAACACTGTGTGTGTCTGTGTCTGTGTCTGTGAGGCGGTGCTTGATAAAATGTACCAGGGCTATGATGCATCTAGAGTTACAGGAGCGCATTAAATGAACGAACACATTTGCCTTACTGGTCTCTCTTAAAGCTGTAAACAGAATTTTTAATTTTTGTTAATAGAATTTTCTGCAAAATTCTTATTTTTTTGTGAGGTATACCATATTGTTTATGGAGGTTTTGTTGATGAGTACATCAGCTGAGAACTGTTCCTTTTATTGTCAAGACACCTTCATACAGTACATATTGTTTCAAAGCAGCTTCACAGTAATATCCATGGTGAGAATGTTTGAATTGACGGGTGTCCTGTTGATGTGTCTCTCACAGGGGGCGTATCTGGTGGGTGTGTCTGACCCAAACAGTCACGCTGGGCAGAAGGGTCTTGTGGACCCCTCACAGTTCGCCAGAGCCAAACAGTCGATCCAGATGGCCTGTCAGAACCTAGTGGACCCGGCCTGCACCCAGTCCCAGGTAACAGCGTGACTCTGCTCCTTCCTAGATACAAGCAAGCAGTCTGGAATGGACAAACACAGACCTAAAATCTGGTTTACTTTAGAAAGGGTTTAGAAAAATAGGCATTAATAGTGCGTTATTATTAGTTATCTAACTGATAGGGATTTTTCAATAGCTGATGCAACTTTTTACACAATATGTAAAAAATATATTATTTATTGATTTGGAGATTTGGAACACAAGGAAGAACTAAAGGTGCGTTTGCATTTACAGTTGTCTGGTGATCTGGTAAAAAGTATCTACACAATTGTGAATTTTGTGTGAGGGTGAACAATGCTCAAGTTGTTTACATGGATCCACTGTGCTGACCAGTAGAAATCTGCTTGGTCTGAAAGTGACTTTTGGGCCAATAGACAATGGTCCTTTTTTGCCTGAAATTTGGCAAAAATAATAATGCGATAACGGGACGCACCTTAATCAGGGCTCCAGACTGCGCCTAAAACGACTTTTCATAATTACATGTTATGATTTAAATATTTGCATGTTATGCCTTTTTTCCTGATGGTTTTGCGATCACATCTTTTGTTATGTTGACGTAATAAGCTCAGATGATGCGCATCAAAGTTTTAGAGGAAAAACAGTCCTCATCTCTGCAGAAGAGCAGCGCTGAGGGCACTCCTGCTAAAAGCAGCATGAGAGAGATCGAAAATGACGGAGACGTGCGAAGTAAAAGTGCAGAAAAGCAGAGTCTATTTCGTGCACAACTTGAACAAACTACAACAGGTAAAGCTGTCAGCTGTGTGGATATTAACAATATTGTTAACAATTCTCGTTTATAATCGATACTGATATGGCTTCGTCTTTAGTCTAAATGTTGTGTTCTGTTAATGCGTGAGCTTCATATTATTTGTAGCGCATTTGCCATCCAGTAATCTCATTAAGCTTTGTGCTCTGTTACCTTTTAATAAACGAAGTATCAGCTTTAAAATTCTGCCAAATTCATAACTAAATTCAAACAATAAATACCGTTTTGACACTCTTTAATGTGGCAGAGCGATCGCTTTAGCGCCTCAGTTCAAGCAGCACGTGAACCCATCATATCTTTCTCTTTACTACAGTATATAGTACGAAATAAACATGAATGGACATCAAAAGGTATATTATAAGATACAGTACATCTTATTGAAATGGCTCATGTAATTGCTCATTTAGTGTCTCAAACTGCGGAAAACATGTAAAGCTTGTAAACAACGCCACACAACAATACATTTACCTCAGAATAACCATTCAGCGTCCATAAGCTCATCAGTCAGCTAAAAAAAAATAACTATGAAGAGGAGCATTTTGTTTAATATATGCGCTATATTGCATATTCATATTAAAGCTTGTAAACAACGCCACACAACAATACATTTACCTCAGAATAACCATTCAGCGTCCATAAGCTCAGCTAAAAAAAAATAACTATGAAGAGGAGCATTTTGTTTAATATATGCGCTATATTGCATATTCATATTTTTACTTTACCTGTTGTCTACATGCAAGAAGCTAAAAATAAAATTCAGCACCTCATATAAAATTGCGTGTTACTAATGAAGAAGAGCAGACTGGATGTGTGCAAGACCTATGACAGCATTTATAAGATGCTTTGAAGTGGAGCCCAAACTACATTCAATGCCCAAGTGATGCTGAAATAATCCGTGATTTTGGCACAGATTCTGTGCAATAATCAATTCTTTGTGACTGAATATAGTTCTGAAGTTGGAAAAGAAGTTTTGTTCCCACGTTAAGTGAACCTTAGTTCCCAGGACATCTACAAGATGGATTAAAATGCTGATAAAGATGTGAAAAGATGAGACATAAACACATGACAGTATGATTGAAATGTTAAAGTGTTAAAATAAATTTATTTAAACACATTTATTCTGCCACTCATATATTCTGTGGCACTGAAAAAAAATGTTTGTTTCTTATAGAAGCCAATGGCTCCTTAATTAATTTGTTTGTCTGGAGCCCAGATTAATGCTTCTGTTAAATGGCCAAGCAGAGGCAGTGTAATCGGCCCTCCCAGTGACTGATTGGCTTTCAATAACTATTGTATTTCATATCTGGATATTTCCTTTGAACTCACAACTCAAAATAGGAAGTGCATTTTTAAAGGAACATTTTGACCTAGTTTTTAAGTCATCACAAATAACCTGAGAAAAATAACTTTTTATGCATATATGCATTATGCATTTATGCACATTATGTGTTTTATGCACCTTCTTCTTTCAAGGTCCTCTCTGCTGCCACAATTGTTGCCAAACATACTTCGGCCTTGTGCAACGCCTGCCGACTCGCCTCCTCCAAAACATCCAACCCAGTTGCTAAGAGACAGTTCGTCCAGAGTGCCAAAGAGGTGGCGAACAGCACCGCCAACCTCGTCAAGTCCATCAAAGTGAGTTTGAAGACTCCGTCTGTTTCTGGTCAGCAGTGTTTATGTATTTGCGTTTGGTATTATTGGTGACTGTAACTGTGTTTGTGCTGTAACCTCAGGCTCTTGATGGGGCCTTTAACCAGGAGAATAGACTGAAGTGTAAGGAAGCCACTGGACCACTCATCGAGGCTGTGGATAACCTGACCGCCTTCGCTTCGAACCCAGAGTTTGCTAGCGTACCTGCACAGATCAGTCCAGAGGTACCACATTATATCACTGAATATAATACCGTTCAATAGTATGGGCCAGTAAGTTTTAAGATTTTCTTTTTTTTTTTTTGCTTTTATTCAGATAGGATGCATTCAATTTATCAAAAGTCATATAAAACAAAAACAAAAGACGGTCTACAACACATACAGTTTTCTATTTAAAATCATGCCGCATATATACAAGCGGTTCATACAGTATAGAGCAAAATCTCATAAAAGAGCTGAGAAAGAGAAAAATATTAATTGTGCTCTCAAACTTTAGAAGTAGTGCATTTACTAGAAAAATGATTTCTGACTCTATACAAATTGAATAGAATAGTGTAAAATTGTCAGGGACATACAGGGCTCAGGAGTGGGAACCAGACTCCAGGCCGAAATAGAAAACCCTGTTTGGACCATGCTGGAAGTTGCAAGTTCTGTTGTGTCTGATCGCAGGGTCTGGCAGCGATGGAGCCCATCGTAACGGCCGCTAAGACCATGCTGGAGAGCTCTACAGGCCTGATCCAGACAGCCCGCACACTGGCTGTCAACCCCAAAGACCCGCCCAAATGGTCTGTGCTTGCTGAACACTCCAGAACAGTGTCCGACTCCATCAAGAAACTCATCACCAACATGAGGTATTCACAGGATTTATATCTCTTATTCAACAGTCATCTAATAACAAGACTTAAGCCTATAGGTAAAGTCTGCCATGTCTGTGAAACCCTTAGCAGGTGGTTATAGGATAAATGGCACCAAAATGAACAAAAAAAGTCCCCCAAATTCAAGGTACAGAGGACAAAATGCGCCTGAACAATTGAACTAAACGATTACCACTTCAGTGATGGGAACATCCTTTGCTCGCATTCTTCCATACAGTTTATTCCCAGTTTGAATCAAATGAATTTTGTTCCTCAGGCCACTAATATAACTAATGTGAAGTCTTGATTTTCGAATACATAAGAACTTATTAATAAACGGTTCTCAGCATGTTTCGTCTGTGTAGCCTACAAGAATATGACGTGCCTTTTCTCAACACACAAACGCGTTAATCAGTATTAATACTCATTATTAAAATGTAGGCTATTTAAAATTACATGAATCTCATATCATTAGGCAGTTGTTGTGTAAATACGTGTATATCATGTGGGATGCAGCTTCTGTTCCACCTTGGCAATGAAAGATGGCTGTTGTTGATGCTGATGAAATGTTGTTGACAACAGACTACAGTATTCTGATTGATTGAATTCATTGATTACATTTAAATGTTTTGCTTATTAAATGTACATGTGTTGTTTTTTTAAGGTCTAATAAGGTAGAAAAAAAGCCTCAGGAAAAGTTCATTTCTGACCCTGTTGTGAAGTCACCTTTATTTCTATAGCACTTTATGCACTACAGATTGTGTCAAAGCAGAGATATAGCAGAATCAATTATGGAAACTCAACTATGGAGGCAGTTCAGATTCTGCTGTAAAGCAGCTCTGAAAGACAGTAGTGTTGTTATTTTGACAATAGTGTCAGATCAATTTGAAATGGAAAGTTCAGCTATAAGCAGTTCGACAGAGTCAGCAGTGTTGTTATTCAACTCAAGTCAGTTCAGTTCAATACCAGTATCAATGTTGTGAGATATGATGCAGTTGTGAATTTCCACGTATCATATTCATATGCTCTCATGTAAATGTTTTCAGGGAGAAGGCTCCAGGTCAGAGGGAGTGTGATGACGCCATTGAGGCTCTTAATAACTGCATCCGTGAGGTGGACAAGGCGTCTCTGGCAGCCATCAGCCAGCAACTCACGCCTAGAGACGACATCTCCCATGAGGTGAAGCTTTACAGCGGTCATGATGAACTACAGCAATATCTTTAAAGCTGAGGGCGCAGATTTCATGTGGGCCGGCTAACGATGGTTATCATTGTTCTGAATCTAATAGAGTGCTATTGTAATATTGTGTTGTGTTGCAGGCTCTTCACGAGCAGATGGCGGCGTCTGTGCATGAGATCAGTAACCTGATTGAACCGGTGGCCATCGCGGCCCGCTCCGACGCCTCTCAGCTCGGTCACAAGGTCTCAATCATTTCTAAACCTGTTTCAGCGGGTCTCAGTGTTTATTGGGAGCTAAATGTATGCCGTCATCTCACAGGTGTCTCAGATGGTCAGTTACTTTGAGCCGCTCATCATGGCTGCCATTGGTACAGCATCTAAGATCCTGAACAGCCAGCAGCAGATGAGCGTACTGGATCAAACCAAGACTCTGGCTGAGTCTGCCCTACAGATGCTCTACACAGCCAAAGAGGCTGGAGGAAACCACAAGGTGAGACGGCACCAGCCAAACACAGCAGCTGGTCATGATGGTAGTTTTGATCACATCTGTCCGAGATCTGCTGTAGTGCTCATTCTCACAGTAGACGGTGTGTTTTTGAAATGCTGTGTTGCCAGGTTACCAAATCCAACACTAACCCTGATGAGCTGGGCGGTTTGGCCAATCAGCTGACCACAGAGTTCGGTGACCTGGCGTCAGAGGCCAGATGTGCAGCCATGACTGCTGAGAATGACGAGGTATCTTGACATACGGCTCTCTTTTCTGTAGATTTGTGGCTTTTCCACATAATATTACAATTCACATGAAACGGACTCCATTTACTGTTACTGCATGTTACTGGTCTTATTGAGAAATGTTTGTATTCATAGTAAAGGAACATTATCAAATCAAAAGTTTGGGGTTGGTAAGATTTTTTATTTTTAAGTTTAAGGTGTGTGTGTGTGTGTGTGTGTGTGTGTGAGTGAATGAGTGTGACTATGAGTGTGAGTGTGTGTATAAGTGTGACTGTGTGTGTGTGTGTGAGCGTGAGCGCGTGTGTGTGTATGAGTGTGACTGAGTGTGTGTGTGTGTGAGCGTGAGCGTGCGTGCGTGCGTGTGTGTGTGTGTATGAGTGTGACTGAGTGTGTGTGAGCGTGCGTGCGTGTGTGTGTGTCTATGAGTGTGACTGAGTGTGTACGTGTGTGCATGCATACGTGAGTGTGAGTGTGTGTGTGTAAGAAATTGAGATTTATGCATCATCTGAAAGCTGACTAAATAAGCTTTCCATTGATGTATGGTTTGTTAGGATAGGACAATATTTGGCCGAGATACAACTATTTGAGAATTTTGAATCTGAGGGTGCAAAAAATCTAAATATTGAGAAAATCATCTTTAAAGTTGTCCAAATTAAGTTCTCAAAAATTAAGTTTAGATATATTTACAGTAGGAAATTTACAAAATATATTCATGGAACATGATCTTTACTTAATATCTTCATAAAATGGATCATTTTGACCCATACAATGTATTTTTGGCTATTGCTACAAATATACCCCAACGACTTAACTCTGCTTTTGTGCTCCAGGGTCACATATGCACTGTCACCTCAACTTCATAAGGGTTAATCCTTTAAAATGCAATTTTGTAACACTTAAATTTATAGTTAATTTATTCCAAATTAAACTTCATTAAACAAAATGCAGCTCTTTCAGAATAATTAAACCGAATGAATAACACCTGAATAATTATGTGTATGTTACAGTTATGAAAACGTTTTTATAAATTGCTGACAGTACAATACTGGACAATGATGTAATCTGCAGAATTTACACTTCAATTATGAGACTATGTTATGAATAAATTCAACTGTATAACAGTTTCGCTGCGATTCATGTTATAATGGTAGAATTAAAGAACATTAAACATAATACATATTACCGTTGCACTTATCTGTACATAGTAAATGCACTTATTTTTAAGCGTTTTGTTGACATTGTATCTAAAACGTGATTTAGCCAAAAAAAGACGAGAGAAAAGTATTGTAATAATGTAAATTATGTGAAAAATAATGCGTTTTTCGAACCACCAAGCATGAGAGCATGTTCTAGTACACCCCCAAAACAAAATCAAGACTTTGTAAAAGAGCATAATAGGACCCCTTTAAAGTAAAACAATTTAATATGTTTATTTTCAAAGCTTATGTTATACTACATGCAACTTAAATTCAACAAATAGTTGCTTGTCATCTAAAAAGAGAAACTAGTAGAAAGAATGTCCAGTACAGAGTGTGGATGGAGTTTTGGAATTTAGAAAGGAATCTAAAAATACAAATAATTTCCATATCATTTGAGTTTAGTGACTTTACTATTGTCCATGTTTTTAAATAACAGTAATGTAGAATGAGTGCTCAGACTTTGACTTCTAGTGTATGTGTGTTTCTGTTAAGCTAAAGTGAAACTCATTTTTCTGCTATGGTGTTCAGCAAGCGGCGTTCCACCCGGAGGTGAAGCGAGACGTTCAGGCTCGAGCGCTGCGCTTCGGCTCGGAGTGTGCCACAGGATACCTGGGCCTGCTGGAGCATGTGTTAGTGGTGAGTGTCCACCAGGCCACCCGGTTACACACACACACATTCCTTTAGAGCTCCTTTAGGGGGTCATTCGAGTTAAAGCTGTGTGAAAAGCTGTGCCTTTGGTCCTGTGATCTTAGGGGCACACTGAAATATCACATATTTCACAAACTCACAGTATGTTTGTCGCTCAATGGGTCAGTGACTGAAATATTTGTCTAAAATGTATTAAAGGGTTGTTAAAATATGATAAAACATTAGATGTAGTATTTTTATTGGTAAAAGTACATAAGGGATTTTGAGGATTTAACAAAGTAATGCTCAGATCATTACTATGCAGGTCTGAGAAATGCATTTCAGTGCTTTCCTTCATTTATTTTCTGTTTTCTCTGTGTGTGGGTGGGTTCGCCGATAGCCGGTGAGTTAAAGGTGACTGATTGTGCATGTGAATGTGTGTGCTGAATTGCACAACCTCTTAACATGACACATAATTACACAATATCGTGTGTGCTGCAGTGCTTCTCAACTGGTGGGTTGCAGATCTATATTTATTTCCATTTCAGTCTTTTTTTTACTTTTTTTTTTGTTGCCATTTTGACTTTGACTTATGATTTTGAAACTTCCTTTTTAAATGTTTCATGTGAATTTTGTCATGCATCATCTATAGACTCCCGTGACAAAAAAAAATGTTTAACAGAATTCAGATTTGCCAGATCATTTTACAGATGTTAGACAGTTTGTCTTAGTGACAAATCTTCTAAAATCCACCAGCCAACAAAACTTTGTATACTACTGGACATTTTGACATGTACACCATATTTTGTGAAATTCTGCCTATAGGGGGCCATTACACACACACACACACACACACACACACAAAAAGAAAAAATCTGCAACCATACGATTGAGGAAACAGAAATTTAACACAAATCCTGATAAATTGTTATTTTTGAAGATCAGTAGTTGCACACTTTATGTCTGTTTTCTTGAAGTAAATCCACTTGAGAATCACTGGTAAAATATATGAATGTAGTAACTTGTGTGATTTCATTATCATGGTCATTTTCATGGTGACATTCGTATGCATTATAAGACCTTTTAAATATAAAATATTAATAGCATCTTCATTAGTAAAAATGCTTTGTTACAGGTTCATTTGTCAAAGGTTTCAGAAATACTGAATGAAATGTGAATGGTTTGCAGAAGCATTTAACATTTTGCCATTTGCCATATTTTAGACTTCAGTGTTCATGTATGAGTATTTTCCTTTGGATTGTGCTGCGTTTGTGTGTGCGCGCGCGCGTGTGTGTGTGTGTGTGTGTGTGTGTGTGTGCGCGCACTAATCATGTGAGTTTAAGGTTTTGGGAGGAGGCCAAATCAGTATGGATTGTCAGTTTTGTGTAATATTCAGAAAGAGACAGGGTTCCCATAGTCACGATTATTAGACTGTGCCAACATCCTGAGTCTTAACGTTTATAAAGAATATCTCTTTGGATTTGAGACTTTAGTCTTTGCAACTTCAGGGATCTTATCTATTCACGTACAGCTTGTAACACTCCAAAGAGAAAGTAAAAATTGAAATCGCATCATATGACTCCTTTAAAGAATTTGCCACTGATGATTCAAACGCTTTCAGCTCAAAGCTTTTTTTTTTTTTGAGTTTTGAGCAGTGTAGAGAAGGGCTTGTTGTTTGTCATTTCTCCGATCACAAATGCAGACATTTTATGTTACGCTTCGTCCGGACAGGGCATCACAGTATGATAGGGGTGTAACATTTCCGTCACACGCTTGAGGTATTCGGCCAATCACAACGCACTGGATTGCTGGCCAATCACAGCACACCTCGCTTTTCAGACCGATGAGCTTTGTAAAAATCTACGTGTTTCAGAAAGGCGGGGCATAGAGGAGAAACAATAATGTACAGTATGTGGAAAATAATGTTTTTTTTAACCTTAAACCGCATAAACACATTTCATTACACCAAATACACAACATAATGTTCTTTTTAGCAACATCATATGACCCCTTTAAAGAGAAAGGCACCACAGTCTCAAAACAAAAATCATGAACGACTGGAACAGTTAGTGAAATCCGTTGATCAGAACATGGGAACTCTGAAGAGTTATTTGTGCTTCTGTAGGGTTTATATAGACAGACAGCATATGTTTGTCTGTGGGTGTGTTTCTGGTATTGTCTGTGTCATTCCCAGCATTCCTGCTTATGGCCAAGTCTTTTCTTAGCCGTCTGTCTCAAACGAACAGCTCTGCTAATGCCATGCACCTGTTCCACTGTCACCAGCACCACCCTGGAGGACACGCCGAGGACACACACACACACACACGCCCGAGATTAGTGTCTTCTAGTTGACCGCATGAGTGTCTAACAGCAATGAGCTGTCTGTGAGGAGTTGAAGATGCCATCAGTGTCCGATTGATTTAACAATCTCTCATTTAGGATGTTTTAATGCTTTCATGTGTTTGAAGTCATGCGGTCTCTATCCACAGATCATTCAGAAACCAAGTCATGACCTTAAACAGCAGCTGGCACACTTCTCCAAACGTGTGGCCGGTTCAGTGACGGAGCTCATACAGGCTGCGGAGGCCATGAAAGGTACGACAGCGACCTGTGTCATGTTTCTCAGTACACACACTCTACACTCACCATCCCAGATTCAGTGGATTATCTTCTAGCTGCAGGGCTCTAGATCTAGGGCTCCTCTCGTACTTCTTGCCCTCTTGTCCTCTCCATCAGCTCAGGTCAAGTATCCGCTTCCAGTTCTGCATCATGAGCAGGGAATCCAAGCAGGATTTATCAGGATAATCTACTGAAAGTGATCTGAGAGCTCGGGGTGATAATACCCAGACCCTGATTTAACACATGATGAGAGACCAGGAGAATTTCTGTGGGGGTCTGTGAGGATTTAAAGAAAAAGGATGATTTATACTGTAGATGCCAATTCACACAAAAAAAGTCTAGGTATCTATTATTTATAAGAGTAAAATAACATATTTAATATGATAAGATACTTAGACTTTCTGTTGTTCATTTTTATTGCACATAAGAAATTATGTTCCTTTATGAATATAAACTATCATTCAAAAGTTTGGAGTCAGTGTGATTTTAGTTTTTTTAAAGAAATGTATACTTTTATTCAGCAAGGATGCATTGATCAAAAGTGACAGTAAAAATGTGTATAATGTAAGATTGCTATTTCAAATAAATGTTGTTCTTTTCAACTTTCTATTAAAGAATCCTGATAAATACAATGTATCACCGTTTCAACAAGAAAATATTGGGCAGCACAGCTGTTTTCAACATTGATAATAATCAGAAATGTTTCTTGAGCAGCAAATCAGCATATTAGAATGATTTCTGAAGATCATGTGACATTGACGACTGGAGTAATGATGCTGAAAATTCAGCAATAAATTACATTTAAAAATATAGTATAATAAAAACCAGCTATTTTAAATTGTAAAACCATTTCACAAAATTACTGTTTTTGGTCAAATAAATGCAGCCTTGTGAGCAGAAGAGACTTCTTTCAAAAACTAATAATCTTACTGACCCCGATCTATCTAATACTAACAATTCAGAACAATAATTTTTTGTTGTTGTTGTTGTTTTTTGAATATTTTCCTTAAATAAGCAAATTGTTCACACACCAGTCAGAACCTCAGGATTTATAAAAAGAACCACAGATAATCAAAAAAATCCAAATCCAAACAATGCAGAATGTGCTCAAATCAGAGGAAGAATACAAGGAGGTGGAGGAAGGCCGAGATATAGCATTTTATTACAGGTACATGGCAGAATCCCACACACGAGTTTGATTGGTTATGATGCTTTCTTTAGGTACAGAGTGGGTGGACCCTGAGGACCCGACTGTCATCGCCGAAAATGAGCTGCTGGGAGCCGCAGCTGCCATTGAAGCTGCCGCTAAGAAACTAGAGCAGCTCAAACCCCGAGCCAAACCCAAGGTGAGGAAACATTTACCCACATCCCTCAGGACTCGCACACGCACCAGCAGCTTAACTGACACACTACACTGCCTGACATTTTACATTTAACTTGGAAAATCCCACTCAGTGCTCATATATTCTGAAGCGGATGTTCCTGATTATTATGTGACATTTGTGTAACTATTCCTGTTTGCATTGCCCAGTTTGGATTTGGATTTAAGGTAACACAAATCACATGAAATATGATTGCAGCATGAATTGACCTCCATCATCATCCTCATCATCTATACTGGAATGAAAAACCATTGTGATGTGTTCATATGCATGTGAAAAACCTTAAGGATCAGTCACAGTGTTCAGACAGTGATGGAAATTAATGTTTGCTCTGTTCTGTTTAACAGGAAGCCGATGAGAGTCTAAACTTCGAGGAACAGATTCTGGAAGCAGCCAAATCCATCGCTGCAGCCACCAGCGCTCTGGTCAAAGCTGCATCTGCCGCTCAGAGAGAGCTGGTGGCTCAAGGGAAGGTATGAACGTGCCTCGATGAACATGCTTCATCCAGAATGCCTGGAAATCCTGTACTTTGTTCAGCTTTGCTCGGTCAGTAATGCATTTCTCTCTCTCTGTCAGGTCGGGGCGATCCCAGCAAACGCTGTGGATGATGGACAGTGGTCACAGGGTCTCATTTCTGCTGTACGTCTGTTTCAAAGTCACTGTCACAAGTGGTGCTGGAAGTGCTGATTTCTTGAGCTTTCACCCAGAAATGACAATTCTGTCATCATTTGCTGTCATATCATACCCTCGTATCATTATAAACACAAATGAAGATGTTTTAAAGAATGTTTCAGTTATTTTTGTCCAAAGTCAGTGAAGTCCAAAACATCTTTTGGTCTCTATTGACTTTCACTGTGTGGACAAGAGAACTCTGAGACGTTTTCAGAATACTTTCTATTGTGTTGTGCATAACAAAGTCAGTCGAACAGGTTTGAAACCACATGAGGGAGAGTAAATGATGACAGAATGATAATTTTTGGGTGAACTAGCACTTTAACTTTCTCAGTTTCTTCTGATAGATTTAGATGCGGATGTTTCAGATACCTGCACATACATGCATAAAGTAGTTTTTGAGGAGGTGGATGTTCAACATATTTTGTCCATGAATTCATTGGCTCTAGGCGCGTATGGTGGCTGCAGCTACGAACAACCTGTGTGAGGCAGCTAACTCCGCTGTTCAGGGTCACGCCAGTGAGGAGAAACTAATTTCTTCAGCCAAACAGGTGGCAGCATCCACCGCTCAGCTGCTGGTGGCCTGTAAGGTCAAGGCTGACCAGGACTCTCAGACCATGAAGAGACTGCAGGTCAGTGTGTGTGTGTGCGTGTGTGTGTGTGTGTGTGTGTGTGTGTGTGTGTGTGCGCGTTTTTGTGACAAATGAGGACATAAATTTGTATAATGACAAAGGTATGACAGGTATTACAAGGAGAAGGTGAATTTTCAGGACATTACCCCATGTCCCCACTTTTCAAAACGCTTCTAAATCACACAGAATGGAGTGTATTGAAAATCTGAATTAGCACAAAGTCTCCTGTGAGGGGTAGGTTTAGGGGTAGGGTTGGTGTAGGGCAATAGAATATACGGTCTGTACAGTATAAAAACCATTACGCCTATGGGATGTCCCCACTTTTCACAAATGTAAACCTGTGTGTGTGTGTGCGCGTATGTGCATGCGTGTGTGCATGTGCGCGTGTGTGTGTGTGTGTGTGTGTGTGTGTGTGTGTTTGATAGATTTGGGGTACTTCCATTCAGTAGTTTTTGAGGTACATGTTTTGAAAGCCCCTTGTATTAGGTTGAAAACATGTATCATCGTAATAGCGGAGGTCAAATTGATCCTAATTGGATTTAATACAATTCACTAAAAATCCGTCTATGAAAAAAAGAATCAGATAAAAACAGTAAACCTCTAACATTAATACTCACTTCTCACATATCACAAAAAATGAACATGAAAACACATTTAAAACTGTATTTAACAATTTTGGTTATCACTGTAACTGTGATTATTATAAACCGTATTGTGTTTTTGTTTTGTTTTTTGTACATTTTAAAAAATATTTTAAACCTAAGAAGTGTGGAAAAGCATTTATTTCTGTGTGTTTCTATGTGTTTAAAAAAAATAATATATATATATATATATATATATATATATATTTTATTGTGGCGCAAGTTTCTTCAGATAAAAATGTATGCCAAATGCATTAACATAAATACCCTCAAAGTGTAGATAAGAAACTGACATTACACAATATAGAATTATTTTTTTATTTCATTATAATCTGTGCAGTTGTCTTTAATCTTGTAGTATGTCGATCAATTTGACCCCAAACATCATAATCACAATGTTGTAATTTCCTAAATGAAAAAATTCACTAAATTCATATATTTATTATTATTATTTATTTAAGGAGAATATCATAGGTTCCCTTTCAGTCAGTCACGTTCTACGTTACGTCAGTCGTGACTGACGAATTGGGATCTCGCCCGAGAGCCCAATCACCTTCGAGTGTTAACTAAACAAGCCAATGACAGTTGACAGTTGGCTCTCCTTTTATACCCGTGCTGCGGGGCGGGGTGCGCACTCATACTGGCCCAGTCCCGAGTGCAGTTGTGCAAACACAGGGATATGGTGCTCAGTCACCTCAGCCGATTGGGGCTTCGGGTCAACTGGTAAAAGAGCAAACTCTCCCCGGTGCAGAGGATCTCTTTTCTCGGCATGGAGCTGGACTCGGTCAACCTCTCAGCACGTCTCTCAGTAGAGTGTGTGCAGTCGATGCTGAACTGCCTGGGGTAATTTCTGTCATTAAAGACAGCGCTCCTCACCGCATTGGCCTCGGTCCAGAGGGTAGGGGACCTGCAGGCATTCTCGGCCGACGATTTGTGCCTAGAATTCGGAATGGGTAACTCTCACATTGTCCTGAGACCCCGGCCCGGATATGTGCCCAAAGTTCCCACCACGCCTTTCAGGGATCAGGTGGTGATACCTCCTATGTGCGGGATGTGGCTTCCGTAGCATCCCAACTGGGAATGCTTTCCCAGTGTTATCCAATGTACCACTGTATGGAACAGCAGTGGCGGACACCTCTGCCTAGCCGCTGTCCTATCTTCTGCCCCAGCTGGTGTGGAGGGACTTGCCGGATTCCGCAGGGCACTGGAGGGGGTCAGCAATAGGGGCGTTTTCCGACTGACGTAACGTAGAATGTGACTGACTGAAAGGGAACGTCTAGGTTACGTTCCCTGAAGGAGAGAACGGAGACGTTACGTTCCGTCGCCACAGTTGCTGTACCACCGCTGTACGGCCGGGGCACGTAGTCTCGGCTCCTCAGCGAAAAACTGATGTGCGTTTGCGGGGCGGGGTGCGCGTGGCGAAACACGCACGCCAACTGTCATTGGCTTTAACACTCGAAGGTGATTAGGCTTTCGGGCAAGATCCCAATTCGTCAGTCACGACTGACGTAACGTCTCCGTTCCCTCCTTCAGGGAACGGGGGTTACACAAGTAACCTAGACGTTATCCAATATTTCAGAAAACTCAAAATGGGTCAGATTGGCCCGCATCCTAATATAAGAGTTTTAAAACCATCCTTTCCTCTCATCATTTGCCACTGCAGTGGTCTGACACAGATAAACAATGACTTAGTTGTTGTGTGTCTGCCTCTCAACAAAGCCTTTAAATATTGAGTGACACCGTGAAACCCACTACACCCCTCCTGCCTCCAGTCAGACAGCTGTCGTCCTGCACAGGGTAAAGGCTGAGGTTTACATTTAAAACCTAATAACCCTTAGACCACCATTATATCTTAAGTCACAATAAACATCATACTGAATTTTCACACATATTAAAACCTGGTTCTGAGCAAATCATTGCATGAACATTCAGACACACATATCTACAGTATTTGATGCCATTTTCTATTTTGTGGACTCTCTTCTAGAGGAATCTCTGGTAAAGGTCCATGTTTAGTTTAGCAGTGTTTTAGTCTTGCAGCAGTGAGATGAATGTAATGCTGGAGCAGGAATAGACACCGTTCCATCATCTTGTCTTACACAGTCCAGCTGTCTGATGTGTAATGTGCACTGATGAGTGCTTGTGATAACAGCTGTGGAGGCTGCTGGGAGATTTATTATATCGACTTACAGTTCAAATTGATTTCAATGTACAATTCTGTTTATTATGCTTTGGGACATTAATGACAATGTTCTGAAAAGCAAGACACTGAACATGGTTGGATAATTTGTCACATGCTGTGAGCAACATTAATTTGCTGTTGAACACACTCCTTTAAATAGGAATGCAAATTCAAAGAAATTTGAGAAATACTGAATCCAGGTATTTTAACACTAACATTAACCAATAAAGATCCAGTCATAGTTATTTCAATATTATGTTAATTAAAATCATTCATATGTACCCAATCATAGCAACCATTCTTTTGCTACCGCCCACATTACTCTGACCAGTCATAACTTAGTGCTGACTTCAGCCAATCACATTTTGTTTTACAATCAGGGCAGCAGATGACAGTATTTTGACTGATATAGTCAGTGGCACTCTCAGATCATCAGAATGGTGTTGCTCATCCGCTTTTATTTATAGAATTGCACCCGCTCTACATTCTGTGACTGTCTGCCTTTCTCTGTAAAATAAATGGTCATAAATGGTCACAAGCGTGCCGCAAAAGTGAAGCCAAAGCGTCTCAATCGCCCCCAGGTGACTGGCTGCAGTATAAGTCATAAACCCCACCCGCTCCATGTTAATGTCTTAACAAGACATGAACAGAATCCAAATAGTTTCAATAGAACTTTGCACAGTAATGTAAAATGTCTTCTGTGGCAGCAGTGCAGAATCTCTTGGCTATGCTAGTTTGTGTATAAAGTGCGGGCCAGTCCTTCCTCTTACAGAAATAAATCAGCTGACTCCTGACACTCAACCTTAAATCACACCTTCAGCCGTATACAATGCCTCAAAAGGCATCAAAAAGACAAAAAAAAAATATCCCTGGAACGTTTGCCAAAGGAGCGCCGGAGATGTGTTTGGTTCAGGCTGCACTCTCCACAGCTGCATTTCCTTATAAAGCCATCCCCAGAGTCCAGACATGCAGAGCCTTCCTACAAACTTCAGATCAGGCAGATGTGGGGGTTGACTTTAAACCCCTGCTTGTTAAAAGCTACTTCATTGGGTTCACACATAGCTGTCACGATTCATCTTTTGATAACGTGGATGTTGTTTATAAGTATTTGTGTCTGTTTTTAATAAGACTCATTCATAATAAATTGGCAGTTATAATCAAGGACAGTCCAGTGTTTCCACAGGTTTGCCTTAACTTGTAGTTGTACTTGTAGCCACAGAGTAAAAGTTGTACTTCTAGCTGTAAATTAGTATTTATATTTGTAGTGTACTTGTAGCCACAAATTATAGTTGTACACATAGTTGTAATTCTAGCCACAAAATGTAAGTATTGTAGTTGTATTTGTAATGTACTCACATTAAAGTACCTGTAGCCACAAATGAAAGAAGTTGTATTTGTAAGGTACTTGTAGCCACAAATTAAAGTAATTTTGTGGCTACAAATACACTACAAATACAAATACCTTAAGTTTGTGGCTACAAGTACCTAACAAATACAACTAAAGTAGTTGTATTTGTAGTGTACTTGTAACCACACATTAAAGTAGATGTATTTGTAAGGTACTTGTAGCCACAAATTAAAGTAGTTGTATTTATAGTGTTGTTGTAGCCTCAAATTAAAGTAGATGTATTTGTAGGGTACTTGTAGCCACGAATGAATGTAGTTGTATTTGTAGTGTACTTGTAGCCATAATTTAAAGTTTTTCCTAAAGTACTATAGTTGTACTTCTAGCCACAAATCAAAATTTCCACAGGGTTGCCATGTGAGAATACAGTCCAGAACACCAATACAAGAACATAAAAGAATGATGCCGTAGCAGCTGTGACTAGAGCTAGATAACAATTGCTAAATGTCAGTCTAGTATTAGGCTTGTATTTAAGTATTGCTGATTCTTGCAAATGTAGTTCATATGAGGCAAACTATTTGTTGCAGCTCATATTGTCAGAAAGGTTTTCCAGAAAGCCTCTTTTTTTTGTTTGGGGATACCAAGAGCAGCACACATTTATATTTATTCATTTGGTAGATGCTTTTAGCCAACGTAATATTCTGGCTGTAGTTTTCTCAGTATATGTGCTCTCTAGGAATCAGCCCTGTGACCTTGGCATTACTGTGGTATCTGTATTTCAGAGTGAGTGTGATGAGGTGAATCTTGAAGAGATTCAATGTCTTAACCTTCTTAAAGCTGAGAATTTGTACTTGTGAGCAGAATGTGTTTTATTGGTTTTGTTGAATGCTGTGTAAAGTACTCTGACATGTCTGTTTTTTTTTTCGTTAGGTCGCAGGTAATGCTGTCAAGAGGGCATCGGATAACCTGGTGAAGGCGGCACAGAAGGCTGCATTTGAGGCTCACGATGATCAGGCTGTGATGGTGAAGAGCAAGATGGTAGGCGGTATCGCTCAGGTAAAGAGAATATCACTTACAAGTCCAATTCTAGCACATTTAGATACATATTAACTGTGTTTTATTAGAGTATTTCCAGCACAACTACTGACATTTTTCAGGTTGTGAATTAAAGCATGCAGTACATTACAGTGTCGGTTTCATATTGCTTCGTGTCAAGTTTGTTTTTACTTGGCCTGCCATAGTTGATTAACACATGCAATGTTATTTAAATGCTATTAGTGTTAATGACTATAAACAACCAATACATTTTTAACACATTTATTCAATTTGACATTGTGGGATTTCTAAAAACATTGTGGATTTTCATCTGGATGTGTGTGTGCCGTCAGATCATCGCTGCTCAGGAGGAGATGCTCAGGAAGGAGAGAGAGCTGGAGGAGGCCAGGAAGAGGCTGGCCATGATCCGACAGCAACAGTACAAGTTCCTGCCGTCAGAGCTCAGAGAGGATGGACAGGATCAGTGAGCCGCATTAGAGACTAATCAGTGACATTGAGTTTGAGAAAAGTAATTAATGATATGCAATGAGTAAAAAGTGAACTGTGTATCAGGATGTCTATTTTAAAAGTGTTTTGTTTATTTCTGTCACTTTTTTGAGAATTGCCATGCCAGCTTTATTGTTTTGTTGTATTTGGAGAATATGCCGCATATACAAGTCATTTTTAATTTCTTCTAATAGATCTATAATATTTGTTTCAGTACTAGATAGATTAGATGAGCAGTATGTGTTTTGAAAGTTTGTGATCATGGCAGGGGCCAAACAGTGTTTGTAAGCTTTTCAATACGAGATTTGGACTTTCTCAATTTGTCTTCTGTTCTTCTGACAGTCGACAGATTTTTTTCCCTCTTTTTCTTATTTTTTGTGGCAATTTGGACCAGCGGTGCAATGATTAACTTTGCGTTGAAACAATTCATAGAGAAAACATATAATTTTCTAAAGAAAAGAATAATAAAGCTTTGAAATGTTACAAATAGTATCTCCGGGTAATGTTTTTGCAGTGTCACAGTTTGCATTTGTGACAACTTGGTTTACTGGCATTTCTATCAAAAGTATATCTTTTATAAAGCATAAAAGCCATATTTTCATTTTTGTTTTTATAATGTTTTTTTGTTCTTTTCTAGCAATTTACTGTTGTAATTTACTGATGTAAGTCCCATTTAGATGTGGACAGACAATATTAGATTAAAAGATTTGTAACAGGTTCATTAAAATGATTGTGTTAATTAAATAATAGTTATTATAAAGAACTGTTTTAAAGAAATTATAAAGACTTAATAGATCAAATACATAAACAGTTTAAGTTTTCACCATTACTGCCTTTCCTGTTGCATTCAGTATGTTCTGAATCTTGCCTGCCTTTATATTTTATAATTGTGTATTTATCTGTTAACAGTTTCTCACTTAAAATAAGCAAACGCACTTAGCAAATGTGTTTAACTAAAAACTCATAAATTCATTGTTTTGCAAATATTTCCTATTGCATTTGTGTGTGTGTTTTTGTTTTTTTTACAGATGTGCTGGTGTTCGAGGGCTTAGCGTTTACTTGCATAGACCAATAACATAACATAATTACTAAGTCATTAATGAACATTATATCATACAAGAAGTACTTCTTGTGCATTCAAATATCAAAGTGAATAATTATTTGCTTGGCTAAAGAGATTTGTATCTAATCTAGACTTACACTGAGAGTATATCTGAGTTCTGAACATTACCAGGAACGCTATTCCAAAGTTTAGAAACTATATACAAAACAGCTCTACCTCCTTCCATGGTGCTATTATAAACTTCAACTGATGAGATTAGAATTTTGGTAAGAACTGCTGCGCTGGAACCACATGCAGCCTGTTTATGGAGACTGTGGAATATACAGCCTGCACTGTACATTACAAATCTAGTCTTCAGGTGATAACACATGAACTAGCTTCTATCTGGGACATGTTCTGTAACTTAAGAAATATTTCAGTAGAAGAATGCTTTCTATAAAATTGGAAAAGCAGATTTCAGTAAATAAATTGTTGCCAAGTATGACACACACAACTGTAGAAGATGATGATGGCATTATGCTTAAAGCTTGTTTTTGCTGATTAATTATTCCTCATTTTGACAGAATTTAGTAGATGAAAATTACTGGACATCCATTCTTAAAAGTCATTCAAATTAATCTGAACAAATTTGAAAAACTGAAATTTTATCTGAAGGATACTGCATATAAAGCTAACTGTCATCAGCATAAAAATGAAAGCCTTGTTTCATGATAATATGACCTAAGGGGAGCATGTACAATGAATACAAGAGGACCTAAGACTGAGCCTTGTGGTACTTCGTATACTTAACTAGTGTTAGGTTGGACAATTACTCCGTTCTCATTTGCCTAGACACTGAAATCCATTTTTTTTTCTTTGTAAAACTGCAAACCCAAATTCAGCACTTTTTGCCATGTGTTCATAAAGAAAGTACTAGCATTCCAAACCCATCACAATGTCAAAACAACCCACCATTGAACACAGCAGGCAAATTATATGACAGAAATCAGTGGAAAGAGGAAATCATTGTCTAGGCAGTGGTGGTTTTTGAGAACATTACCTTTAAGTCATAAGTCATGCAGCGTATCATAAGGATGCTGCTCATAAATATCATGATGAAATTCGAGTTAAAGATACTCTATAGACAGTGTTTATAGTACGATTACATCAGTAGTTGTTTTTTTCCAGGGCACTTGAATAATCCTGACCTCATATCTTTTTAAGTATAACTCGAGAATGAGGATTCAAAGCCTCCCAAACATGGACAAAATCACAGGGTCAAATGCAGAGCCCATTCAGCAGGACGAATCAGAGCAGGGGGACGTCACTCTCCCAGAGACTTTAGAGTAGTTTCCAAAAAAGACCAGAGTTCCTCTGGAGAGGATTCCAGCCGCCTCTCTGCTGTGCACTCAGCTTTGTCCGTCTCTGCCTCCACTCTCTGAACAAGCTCTCCTCTTTCTCCTCGGCTGCTAGCAGAAACCCTAGAAATCAACCATGGAGGCCATCAAGAAGAAAATGCAGATGCTGAAGCTAGACAAGGAGAATGCCATAGATCGTGCAGAACAGTCCGAGATAGACAAGAAAGGTGCAGAGGACAAATGCAAACAGGTAAATGGAATGAGTTTGGTGAACTGAAAACCGATTATCAGACAATACGTTTTTTCTGTAGATCCATCCATGTTTCTGTTGTTTTCCATCTGTGTCTAATTTAACTCTCTGTTAAACTGGGAGAAGTGGACGAGAAAAAGAATGAGGAAAATGGTCTAAGCAGTAATAAAAATATGATATATATATACTTTAAGTAAAGCTTTTTTGGTGTCTTTTCCCTGAGTACTGAGTATAGAAATGATATCATTTGATCTTCCATGTATATGTAGTGTATATGAATCATCAGTAATCATCTGCTCAGTGTCATCAACTCCAAACACCGATGATTAATCCCAGTTTATGGTCCAGCATCTCTGATGAGTTGAACTATTTTTAGTCTTGTTCCTTAAGATCCGTCAGTCAGGACTAACTGAAAGGCCGATGCCAAATATAGTGGTGTAAATATGTTAGTATATTTAAGTAGGTATACTTGATTACAGCCATTTCATTAAGAGGCCCAGGCTGACAGGAACAACATTTTCCACTATTTGATTAAATGTGGCACAAATAACAGCACGACCAGGCCTGTCACTTTAGATTTATTTATTGTTCCTGTAGATCTTTCTTTGCCACTGTTTTTTACAGAATCTGTCGTACTCAATAATTTAAAGGAAATGTCAGTTAGAAGTTCTCTATAACTATTTCACTAAAAGCCATTTTAATGAAGGCTTCTTCATCAAGGACACTGTTGTTCTTTATAATGGAAGCGCAGCTGGCTTTCCCATGAGAGCAAAAAACGTGAAACACTTTTGTCGGCGGAGCACATGTAATAGGATATAGTTCACAAACATTATATCCATTTGATTTTGAATCGGTGACCTCAGAATATCTCATTTACTAGAACTGAATTGGTTCCTTTTACCAAGTTTATATGCGCCTTTAATTTCTTGAAAGCCTGCTCTGATGGCCCAACTCCATCTATTCTTGTCCCAAGGCCTTTGTTATTGCACCCCTGTTGGTCACTACACATGCTGTCCTTGATCTTTTTTTTGTCCTGCTCCACCTTCATAGAATTGTTCAACATAATAGGATCAAGGCTTTGTACCGTCTGGAGCCACCGAGCTGGGTTTGACGCCAAAGCCGCGATGCGTCTCATAACTGTACCCGGCAAGGCATCCGTCATGAGTGCATTGCTTTGAAACCGTTCACTTGTTCCGTCATCCACTGAAGCTATTTTACACTTCTCAATTTATGAGCTGACCAAAGTGCAACCCGCCTATAAAGCTGGGCTCTATTTTTGCAGCCAGCATTATCTGCTCTGCGTTTCCATATGCGGAAGCTGACCGTCCCGCTGGCTCACAATTAATAGAGGCTGGTTTATGACACTAAGCCATGTGTGATGTTATGGTTAATGGGTGGTGGTTTACTTGACTCTTGTTAAAAGGGTGGGTGGGGGTGACCAGCAGCAGCTGCTGCAATGCTCCACTTTAACATAACGTTGCCGTTTATAATTGTCTCCTCATGCCCTCCCCAAACAAGACACTCAGTTATGAGCCGGGATTTACAGATCATCATATTTCATTGGTGTAGGAATGAGCTCAAGATGGGGGACACAATACTTGATAAGTAATGATCTTCCAAAATGTGGAGAAACAAAAGTTTCTAAAAAAAATTCTACCCTGAATTTGTCCTTCAGTCGGTCTTTCTGTAGCAGTATTCAAATCAAGCATCGAGAACCTGGTCAAATAAATGCTTTTGAATAAAACTAGTAATTTGACAGTATTTTCAGTGCTTAATGTGTGTGTTTGTGTGTGTAGCTGGAAGAGGAGCTCTTGGGCCTGCAGAAGAAGCTGAAGGGTGTGGAGGACGAGCTGGACAAATACTCCGAATCACTGAAGGACGCTCAGGAGAAACTCGAGCAGGCCGAGAAGAAGGCCACAGACGTGAGTGACACACAAATCATTAAAGATTCAACACATCTCTCATTCACTCCTTGTTTGGTATGCTATATATGCACAGTTTACACTACAGTTCAATTTTTTTTTCATCAAAGATGCATTAATTGATCATAAGTAACAGTAAAATTCATTTATAAAAGATTTCTATTTCAAATAAATGCTGTGCTTTTGAACGTTTTTACTAATCAAAGCGAATTAAATCCTAAAAATAGGCCAGTGTTCGAACATAAGATCTAGACATGACGTGTTTAAGTCGGACAGAAGTGTTCAGGAGCTAGTCAGCATGCGTCCTCCTGTGGCTGCACTCAGTATATGTAAAGCTAGCCGTGTGTGGTGGTGGAGAGATCAGGCCGTTAATCAAGAGAGCGGCCCGCACAGATTGGGGCCCGTCCTGTCAACAGCTGCTCTGCTGCCAAACCCACCCACAGTCTCAGATTCTCTAAACACTTCATAAACACTGTCAGCACCTCACAGCTGAGCTGACTGATGTGTGCATCTTACCACTTCACCAAAGACCCGTTTCTGCATATGGCTGCGTTCTCTGCTGGATTCTGTTGGTCTGATACCCGCCATGTTTCCATGGTTTAACACGACCCTTGACCTTTCCACACTCACACGGTCAAATCTCAATACTCTTCACTGATGACCAAAATACAAGCATGATATACTTGATCTATAATACAATATACATTACCCAAAGTTACAAATGGTACTTCCATTGTCTTTTTAGGCAATCTTTTTTCTGGACATTTTTTGGCACTGGTATTCTTCACCACAGTATCATCTGATACCTTTCAATAAACGTATTGAGAGCTATATTGTTAGGTCTGTAGTGTGAA